AGATCATTTATTCAATGGATTCATGATCTTTTTATCATAAATCGTTCAACAATTTTAGTAACAATACTCCACAAATCACGTTGACGAGATTTTCACTAATGATCTAATGATTCTAGTAACTTAATCCTTCACTGACGATTTGTAATAAAGTCACAATAATCAGATAAAAATATGAGTTTTGGCTTTGAGAGGATTCAAACTCATGCCGGTTGTCAGCCTACATGAGAGAGATTGAAATAAAGTACTCTAATTCTCTTATCAAGTGACATTATCATAGTATATCTTTGTTATAACTAAGGGGTAGTTTAGGTATTAAAATCTCTGAAGTCTTTCTGAAGAAGTGTGACACGGGTTTAGTCCCACATCGCTTGTGTGCTAAAGTTTTGGACGAATATATAGTAATATCACATTTACAAGTAGTGAGTCCCTTTCTTCCGTGTGTACAACCACTCCTTGCCCCACAGTCAGTTGGCCATCAATGACGTGGAAGGGTAGTGGTGCACACATGCCCCCATCAGTCCTAACCGCTCGAGTCCCTACTCGTGGCTCCCCCTAACTGTGTTTCTGACCTGCTTGCGAGCCCAGCTTGCGAACAAGTCCCCCCTTTTTACTATATTTTTATTTTATTTTTTTCATTTATCTCAAAAATATGACTATAAAAATCATATAAATATGTCATGTGTGTGAATTCTCGAGCACACATTCGTTAGAAAATCATGGTCACCATGAAAACCACTTGACTATGTTTCTCTTTTTCTTAATTATCGTCTTATTTCTCTGTCCCTCTTTCATGAGACATATACTTCTTTCTTTGTCTCTTGTGAGATCTCTCTCTCTCTCTCTCTCTCTCTCTCTCTCTCTCTCTCTCGATTGATTGATCTTCCTCTCTTTTTTCTCCATCGATCGATCTCCCTCTCTCCTTCTCTCTTGTGAGATGTTTCTCTCTCTCCATCTCATGTGAGATCGATCTCCTTCTCTCCCTTTCTCTCACTTTCACAAGAAACCTCTTTTCTCTTTTGTGAAAGCTATCTATTCTCTCACACTTTTCTCCTTTTCTCTGTTCTCTTTCTTTTCTTCTTTTCACCTCGCTATCTTAATTAATTATTTCTATTAAATATTAATAAAATATTAAAATTACTCTCTATATAAACTTAAATTAGTTTTTCATGACAAATTAATCAATCTTCATGTGTACAACCTAAGACTTACATCAATACTAATATTTTATTAAGTTTTAGCTATAAATGTTATTAGATAATATGTATTTAATACAATGACAAGTGCACATCATTCTTCATCCCATCTAGTACACTCTCAAGAGGAGGTGACTTGTCTCCTAGTATATCATCATCTTCTTGACAATGACTAATTTATCAATCAATCAAAATCATTTACTTGATAGATTCACGATCTTTTTATCCATAATTATTCGATAGTTGGTAACAGTACTCTAGAAATACGTTGATGATATTTTCAGCGATGATTAAGTGATCTTGGTAACTTAATCATTCATTGGCACTCTACATAAAAATATAATTTAATCAGATAAAAATATTTTGGCTCTAGTAGAATTTAAATATTTGTCAGTCATCTACCTATGTGATAGGGAGTCAACCAATTACACTTGTACCTTTACATAATGACATCATGGAGTCATTACCTTCTCATAAATCAAGGACATTATATGTATAAAAATATATAAATTTTACCTCCAATAGTGACACAAATTCAGTCCCACATCACTTATTTCTAATAATTTGAGACATATATATATTAATATGACTTTCCTTCATCAATATCATCATTTCACATGTATACAACTACTCATTACCCCATGCACGATTAACCACTAGTGACGTGGAAGGGAAGTGATACATATACTTAATCAATTGTTGTTCCTCAGCTGCATAAGCCCTTTACTCGCAACTTTGCCTAACTATGCTTCCGACCCACTTGCAAGCCCAGCTAGCTAGTGAGTCCCCCATTTTTCTATTTTTTTATTTTCATTTTATCTCAAAAATATATTTATAAAAATTATATAAATTAACATAAAATTACATAATTAGTTAAAAATTTAAATTAACTAACTAAAAACTACTTTTCAGAATTTAACATAAATATAAATCTAGTTATCATGAATTAAGACTTCTATATATATTATTAATCAATTATTAACTCATGATAATGAAGACTTATTAAATAGTGTATGCTAGTTTTGTGTTTCAAAAATAAGTTAGTTCTAATTAACAATAATTTATCTTTTATTTTTAATAATATAAATAGGATACAAATGTGCATTATCTCAAGAAATTCCTTCTAAAGAAATTAAGAAATCATCCATCAGAACCATAGAATTTTGTGATTTGTTGATGAATTTACTTTGACTCTATCAACCCATAATGTGAAATCAAAAACATGGTTAAAGCTCAACTACTTGAAGTCTCAGCACAACAAACATGATATTCTTTCTACCACTATGCTAATATTAAGATGGTTAAACAATACATGGTTCATAATTTATCCAATATAGAATGGATATTGATTAAATGCTTTGAATTGAACCATTTCATAAAGAAAAAATGAAAAATTCAGCTCTTTTTTATCTAATGTTGAATCAACAACCTATGTAGAGAGTAAGAATTTTGGGACTTGAATATTGAAGTGATAAGGAATATTAGATAAATAACTAAAAAATTTAACCTAATTACCTAGTTATATTAAATACTATAAAAGAGTATAATATAATGGTGAAATAAAATAAATAAATTATAATATATAATAAAATCACATTTTTTTTAAAAAAAGTTTCTTTTGTATTAACATTTTTTTGTCTGGTCAAAGTCCAATTATGTTCTTGAATAGATTCTTAACTTATTATTTTGACCCTTTACTTTTTTTGTCAACAGTCAGAACTAGAAATGTCCAAAGAGCATTACATTGGTCAAACTTGTAAAAGAAGGTAATAGTCAATGTAAGAAATTTCCAACGGTATAGATAACAAGTTTGGTAAGTTTGTACAGACCGAGCGGAGTTGAATAGATGTGAATCCATAAAAGCAGAGCTGATTTATTAACCACCATGCAAAAGAAGATTTACACTGAGGGAGCGAGAGTGAGAGAGAGTTGAGGGAGCGAGGGAGAGAGATGAAAGCCAGGGGGGGTCCTATTTCATAGGCTAGCATAATGAAAAACTCGTCCACTCTCTCTCTCTCTCTCTCTCTCACGCACACACACCTTAGCCGACAACCAAAGGGAACCGCCGCTAGTAGCGGTAAAGTGGGGCCGCCGTTGACACCTTCGTCTCTCGATATACGGCGTTCTAGCCGAAACGCGGTGGGCCACGAGTAAGAAACAAGACGGCCGAGCCGCGGGGGCTTATGACGACGTTTAGCTGTCCCTCTCCAGTTAAACTTCAGTCATCATCCACAAAGTTCAAGACTTGCTCCCGAAAAAAGTATTCCCTCTCCTCCGTGTACTCTCTCTCTCTCCCCCTCTACTCTCTCTCTCTCTCCTTCGAACCCTGGCTCGCTCTAGCGGCGGCAACCCAGACCGGAAGTCAGATTCAGATCCAGATCGCTCCCACCTACCCACGTGACTCGGAAACGCTCCATCCAGATGCTCGGTCCTTTCCGTCCTCGTCCGTCGGGGTCGCCGTCGTCGTCGCCGTTCGCCCGTCCTTACGTCCATTTAACGGCGAGCCGTAAAATCGGCTATAGTTTTCTTATGGAGAAATCATATATTTAGTCTCATCCAGAAGTGAGCCACGTGCCGCCGTGGGAGAGGATGAGGTAGCCGCGAGACGTGGAAATATCTTTCTCAGGGAATATTTCACTATACACACGCTAGCCCTTTCATTTCCCCTTGAATTGCATATATGACCTACTTGTTTGAGTATCTCTAAGGTACCCTCTACGGATTTGTACGTTTGATAGTAGTTATCAGAAAACTGGTATTTTCATTTCATTCATAATTTTAAGATATTTTTTTATATTCATATCCTGAAATTATAATTTTAAGTTGCAAATTATACTTTAAGATACAATTTTATTATCAAATAATAATATCCTATTTTATGGACATGGGCCTCGTTAATGACTGAATATCGTATTAAAAAAGTGATATTATGAAAATAGTAATAAAAGTCGGGCCTCTATATTTGGTAAGGACGAACCTTCCTTTGGAGGCTTAATTTAGAAGTTAAAATCTAACTGAATTGAACCGGGTGTGGGCATGCTTGGGCTTCTCGAGGTCACCCACCCCTTTGCTGTCAACAGTAACACCTGGTTAGGGGGCCAGATGTGAAAATCCATCGGCCCCTGGTTTGGGGTCCCCCGAGGGGGGGTGTTGACCGGGGCACATTATGACTTGAGTTGGTCGGGTAAGTCCTAACCTCTCTGAGTTTTCGCGCCGGCCCGGCTCAGAATTTACATAACCCAGGCCCGGTCCCAGGGCCCGCTATTAGGCCGCTGTGGGTTGATTGCGAAAGATTTAATTTCTCTAAAGAGCGTTTGTATTTCACAAATACGGAAGAAACGCTCGACCAGGTAAGCACACTTTTTAGCAGAGAGAGAGAGAGAGAGAGAGAGAGGATCGTCCCGGTTCACAAAAAATAACTGTCGTCCGCAGAGAAATGAGGAGGTCCGAAAGGTAAATTTATTATTTCAACAACTCCCGTAAAGTTATTAAGTAAAGTCCCTTTATTTCACGAAATTGTATTTTTGAAAGATATATGGACATCCATACTATACATACAAATACTAGGTATTTGTGATAATTTTGATTTTATTCGTACTTCTGGATAATCAATGTGCACCGTCAGTCAGGCCTTTCTGTCGGCTTCCTCCTCCTGAGCAACCCCCTGGGCGCGGCTGCTAGAATAACGAACTTCTCCGCCCGCGGTGCCTTGACCGCCTTCCATTGTCCTCTCCCCGGCTTCGTGGGGTGGGTGTCTCCTCCGTCCAGTCGACGCCTCTACGGGAAGAGGGGGCGCCGGTGCCGGCGATGGAAGGGGGCCATCGATCCCTCCTCACAGCCCCCCTGCTCGCCGAAGCGGAGCTCCGATCTGGGAGTGATGCGGATGCCGCGGCCGACGTTATCCTGGATATCAGAGATGCTGGCAGCCTCCGCGGCAACGAGCTGATGCAGGGATACTCCTCAGAGAGTGTCGAGGGCGACGTCGAGGTGGTCGTAACGGCGGGAGGAGAGGACAGCAATCCGTTCGACCTTCTCGGTGCCGTCCCGTTCCGGTATATTCGGCAGCCGTGCTCCCTCGATCCGTTCCGCAACCATACGCCTACTGTGGAGGGGGTTTACGAGTTTTCTAAGATAGTGCTTTGCCTGCCACTCGCCCTTGCTCGCCTCGTCCTCTTCGGGCTCTCCCTCGTGGTGGGGTTCTTGGCCACCAAACTGGCGTTGCAGGGCTGGAAGGACAAGCAGAGCCCCATGCCGAGGTGGAGATGCCGCATCATGTGGATCACCCGGCTCTGCGCCCGTTTGATCCTCTTCTCCTTTGGGTAAGGGGAAGAAATTCTGACTCATTGATCTTTGTTCTCGTTGTGATCATGTCTCATGGATTTAGTCCTCTCTTATGAACTAAAATACCAAATTTCTCTCTTGCTTCTTCTTTGGGCTAAATATGAACACGAAACCAAAAATTTGACGGACATCTTGGTGTTTCTTTCTTGTTCCGTGTTCTTCCCTTTAGTGACATCCGAACATAAATATGCCATCTGTTTTGAGCCTCCAACTTCTGTGACACTCTCTACCAGACAAGCTGTAAGTTTTGACATGAACAAACAGTGCATAAAAATGTTCTATAACTCGTGGAGGTGCTTGACGACTTTCCTTGGGTTTGATGACCTTCCCATTTCAATGGACCAGAGTGGTCAGAGATCTGCAACATAAGCGTCTTAGTGCTTCAAGTTTGATGAGAAGGACAGTATTCAGAGTTAAATATCTTAATTACTTCACAATATGATGTTTTCTACTATGTGATTGTTGATATATACATGAGTGTTCTGTAACACGTTAGTGGAAGTAATAACAACTTTTGACTCATTGCTTGTCAATGATCTTCTGGGTACAGACCTGTTTCATGCTTCAACATATACTAGTTTTAATCGTTTTGAGGCTCATCTGTAACGAATTCTAGGTACAGTAGTCGTCATCTAATTAATCAGCTCAGACACCAGACTGTTCATTGCCACCCATTCTATCTCACCCTAAATGGAACGACTCAACCAGTCAATCTGTGCCCTGACCCAAGACCCATGTCCGCTTTTTTCCGCCCTTTTATTTTGGGCTAACAGTGTAGCTTGGATTCTGAGGTGATCTCCTGGCCAATAAGCAGAATTCTTCTTCATACATAAAAAATAAAATTTAATCGCATAATTCAGACTGACATTACAATAATGATTAGAATTGGTTAGTTTTCTAAACCTTGGTTGAGAGGAATATTCTCTTCTTTGACTGAGCATCAGATTTATGTGGTGGGATAATGAAATTCATTTGTGATCATGTGTGGCTGTTGGCAAAATTACTGAGCGTTTCTATGAAGCTGGCCGTTTCTCCTTGTATTTCAATGTATTTCATAGTCAGAATAAACCAGCATTTTAAGCCGAAATGAATAATGACTTTACATGCGTTATGCACCTATTCTAAGTTCAATATTTAAATCGAATTTAGATGAATTGTTACATTGCCATCATCATCATCATCAGTCCCTATCCCATCCATTTGGCAGCAAATTAGATCTTTAAGGCAGAAATTCTCTGAGGTCAACTTTATCAATGCCGAAGCCTGGCAAAAGGATTTGGTAAGCATGAAGGAAGTACTCCCAGTTAAGAGATTGGGTGGGGCTTATGAGACTATGTGGTGACTTACTAATGTGGAGCTGGATGAACACTTCAATTGGCATGTGCATAGAGGAATATCAAAATGTGGGTCCTTACTTTCTGTGCAACACGTGTTATGATTCTTTTAACAGATTGCTCATTCGTTGATCTCCCTTTCTGTTTAATCTGTAGAGAAAGGGGTTTTCTTTCTTCCCTACCTGAAGAATACCTGTGGTTACCCACACTCTACATCTTCTTTTATATCTTCACTGTTTTTTTTACTCAACACAATATAATTGGTGGTCCTTTATTACTGCAGTTTTTCTAGCTTTAGCTTCTCTGGTTTGATGCTCTATGATCATTTTTCTGAAGACAATAACCTGGTTTAAGCGGGGAAAGGGGAATTTACATGTGGGAGATGCACTAAAAACATGTTTTCCAAATCACTTCTCTTTCCTGAATGAGTTTATTTCGCTAGTTGTTATATATCTACGGATATCGCTTTATTTTTGGGATATTTCTATCTTAATTAACCCTTTTTCGTTGCCCAGTTGTAAAAGTTAGTTTGAGTGTTTTCCACTAATACTCGTGATGGAAATCCAGTCCTGCCATTTATTGGATGGATTTGACTGATTTTTTGATTGATTATCATGTGCCTGTGTCTTCTTGTCAGATATCATTGGATTAAACGGCGAGGAAGGCCTGCTTCCAGAGAGATTGCTCCAATTGTGGTGTCTAATCATATTTCCTATATAGAACCCATTTTTTTCTTTTTTGAGCTATTTCCAACTATTGTGGCCTCTGAGTCACATGACAGCATACCTTTTGTTGGAACAATTATCAGAGCTATGCAGGTATCAATTATGATCTCTCAGGCTGTAATTATTTTATCATTTCTTGCCAATAGCTATACTGATATTACGGTTTTGATCCACAAAGTCTTACATTTAATGCGATATTTCATGTTTTAGGTAATATATGTTGATAGATTCTCTGCGCCATCGAGAAAAAATGCTGTTAACGAAATAAAGGTACTGATTTCTGGATTGATGTTAATTCTAGTAATTAATCCTCTCTGGTATGTCCAATTTTTATCTTGTAGTCGTACCAGATAAACTTTAAAATGAAACTTTGTTCACCTACCTACTTCAATTTACTTTTGCATCTGCCAATAGCTTGTGGAGAATATGGTCCATATAAAGATTTTACTTGTATAAGAATATCAGGACGCTGTTCTAATGATCATCTATCAAATTCTAAGTCTGGAAACTGAGGTTCTGTCCTTTATTTTTATATTATATGCTATGTTTTTTTTTGGCATCTGGGTTTGTGATACATACAGCTACAATGTTTCCTGTTAAAAAGTGGTATTGTCAAAATCAATGCCCTTTGTGATATTCCATGGTTGTTTAGATGTTCAGGTTTGTCAAAAAAAATTATACTTCCTTTCAATCCAGCTACACATGAGTAAGTTTTTTGCTAGTGAAGCAATATCATTCATTTTATAGAAGATTAAAGAAATCTTTAGATTCTAGGGCTACGTGACTGGAATTTCTTCTCTTAACTTCGTGCACTTTTTTAAAGCTCAGTGTACTCTTTATATTAGTCGTATAAGTGGGGCCATGTGTTGTTAATTCAAAAAGCTCAGTGAAATATTAAAAACTGTATCTTAATCTTGCAACATTGTGGGGCCAAGGCGTATATTAAAGCTCAGTGTTGTTAATTCAAAAACTGGATCTACTGAAAATTTAGTAAATTGCAACATTGACCTGCTGCAATGCTGGAATTGTTGACCCCCGCAGCCACGCTGATCGGAAACTAGTATAAAAAAGGGATTTTAGTAAATTATTGGGTCACAAACGTGAAGGATATCTGCCCATCCTTGCTGAGATAAAATAAGGGTGACGGATAAAAGATAGCATAGAAAACAGGACAGGATAAAGAAAATAGTCAATAAAATAGACATCTGGTTCAAAGTTGACAACATCTGTCAATCATTTTGTGCAATCATATGTCACATTATCATTTAACATGATCATGTTAGTTGTGAAAAAAAAAAAAGCAACTGATCTAAGCAAAGGAAGAGCAAGGAAACAAATCCAAGGTTTAGTTTTCATCACATTATTTCAGTGACGGTTTGAAATGAACTTTAATCAACAAGTCGGTCACGCAAATTAAGTCAGATTTGTGATGAGATTTTTGTTAATTCTGGAAATTGTGTTGATCTATGAGAAGAAGAGCATTTTACCTTGAGAAGAAGAGCATTAAATTGTGTTTTAGGTCGGATTATGTCAAAATAAGCTTTTAGGTCAGTACGAAGCACAACGGGATTGGTCGTTTAGTGAATCCCCTGAGGCATTAGAAATATTTTTGCAAGGCTTGGTCTTCAATTTGCTCAGTTTTTTATAACAATTTATCTTTCAATTAGATAATGCTAATGCCACCCCTTATTAGTTTTGTTTGTGACATTTGGTCCAAAAAGTCTTTTACGATGTTGTATGTGCAAGCTCTTTCTAGGTCTTGTTTACATAATTTCCGTGTCTTTATGACAGGTAGCCTGACCTGCTATGATTTGCCTTCATTTCCATACTCTGGAACATAGTATGTGCATATTTTTAGAATTGAAAGGGGTGAATGTATTGTCAGGGCCATGTTTTTGCTTGACTGAATGTAATTGTGAGCCTTTTTGTCATTCTCCGTTTATTTTGTTATAAAAATTTGAAATCCATTTAGTTTCTGTCCATATATTCCCTATTTGATACAGAAACGTTGTTTTAAGGATCTAAATTCAGAGAAAGGCTTCGTCCAATGGGTTTCCTCGAGTCCTTCTGTTTCCAGAAGGTACTACTACAAATGGAAGGGCCATTATCTCATTCCAACTTGGTGCATTCATCCCGGGGTTTCCAGTGCAACCCGTTATTGTTCGTTATCCCTACATACATTTTGATCAGTCATGGTGAGTCTTTTTGTCTCCTGAAGTTTTATATGTTGTTTCATATGCTACATAAATTCGTGATTTAGTAACACCATTTTAATTCAGGGGATTTATTTCTCTGGCAAAGCTTATGTTCAGAATGTTTACCCAGTTTCACAATTTCCTGGAGGTACCGCCTTACTATTCATTCATTTTTTGTTTGTGTTGTAATACTACTGGATTAATACATGTTAACGAGAATGTTACCTTTAGAAGGATGAGCCTTCATTTAGTTCCTGGTTTTCATGGTCTTGGGGAGACGTGCATTATATGCTCCATGCCATTTGCCTGATCATTTAGATCGTTCCTTTTTGGTAACGATATCACTTTGATTGCGTTTGATGTCTCTGTAAAAGGTCGGTCAAATTGGTGCGGTATTGGTTTTCTGAAAACCGTCAAAATGAATCTATTGGTTGTTAGCTTAACTGACTGCGCCGGCTCAGCTCTTACTCATGTGATTTTACAGATAAGATTTTTTATGGAATAGATTTCCTTTCAAAAACTTCATTGTTGCTAGTCTTCTGATATTGATACCTATGGAGGATTGGAATATTGGAAAATTAATAATCTCATATGATTGAAGTATATCCATGGTCAGCTGATACCGTCTTCTTTGTTTATTTTAATTGTATGCAGATATTATTTTCCATGTGGTTGATGACATTCAATGTGGCCTTTCATATGATCATGGAAGATTCATGCTCAAATCATAAAATTATTATGTTCATATTAGATGCATGCATGTCATGGTGGGTATTACTCTCCACTTGGTCCGTGTCATTCATATAGGAGAAGGGCTAATGATGCCCTTTCTAGCTGTTGTAAACAAAATGGGGAACACTACACTCAATGATTTCTTTTGTCAACTATCCTTGAGTGGATAGAAATTGGAGATATGGTATAATGTATTTCTTTCCGTTCTGATCTAAATTCTTGAAAATATCTTGTCTGTTAGCTCATTAATTTTTCTAGAACTGTGGATTAAAACCATGATTCATTAAAATAATATCACTCATTGTACGCTCGTCATATTAATTGCATGCATTTAATGGTAGATATTACTTTCCATATGGACGGTGTCATTCATATAGGAAGAAGGGTTAATGGTCCCTTTCTAGCTGTAGTAAGCAAAATGCGAAACATTACACTCAATGAATTTTTTTGTCAACTTCTAGTAGATTGAAATTGGGGCTACGGTAAAACGCATTTCTTCCACTCTAATCTAAATTATTGAAAACAGCTTGTCTGTTAGCTCATTAATTTTATTAGTACTGTGGATTAAAACCATGATTTAAATAAAATCACTCATTTTATACTGTTTCTTTCAATTCAACATTATTGAACTCTCATCAGTTTTTTTCCCTTATTCAAAATTATTCAGAATTATACTGTGGATTAGTCGTTATATTTTTTATGTTTACAATAACCTGAGAGCATCAGGATGCTCTCAGTAGCGTTACTTGTTCATTTGCAGCTTGTAGGAAATGATGTGCTTTTAGTAACTCTGTGCCTGAGCACTTTCAGGTTATTTTGATAGTAAAAGAAAATATCAACATTTCTATCTACTTTGTGCTATGTGCATATGTATCTTAATGGACTCTGACATTATTCTAAAAAAAGTTTCAACTTTTCTACCTGATTTTGTCTGTTTGGATATGCATTCTATGTGATTGGTCTCTGACATCTTCATTCCACAGGTGGAATACCTCCCCGTCATTTTCCCATCAGAAAAAAAACTTGAAACTGCCTCAGAATTTGCTGAAAGGGTAAGTAGAATTCCCAAAATGCCTATAGATCATTGATGGTGCAATGGAGAGTTGATAATGTATTTCTTTCTCACATGTTTCATAAAAACTAATAGACGATGCATTTGTTTCCATAACATGCCCATCATTAAAGGAATCGAATCAAGTGTAATGTGTTTATTTCCTCTCCATCTTTACAGACAAATAGTTATTTTGATAAGAAGCGATGAAATACTTATGAATAGTTGGTTGTTTATTATTTATTGTGATTTGATTTTTTTATAATGTATATTTTATTATAATTTTATTATTAATTTATTTTTACGTGTATGCTTATTTTTTTATGTTTTAGAAATTTGTGTATATGCATACTTTTGTAATTTTAAAATGTCTAATTTTCGTAAAAATATTTCTCATATATTCAAAAAAACCTCTGAAGTTATTCCACTTTTGGCGGTGGGTCAAGAATAGTACGAGCTATAAGGTATATTGGCTAAGGTTTTATGATTACCTTTTACTAGAAAGATCGTTTTTCCCATAACTATTCAATGTCCTCATGAAAATCATCACGTGGCCCAACCACCCCTCTACTGAATAAGGAATAATTTCATTTTTGTAACTCTTTTTAAGTGAGGGAACTCTTTCCATTATGTGAATTATTGTCACGAGAAAATCAGGGTGGTAAAGAATGTCATGAATAACCCTGTCAGGGTTTGTGCAGGCTAGCCATATTATGGCCGCTGCACTTGATGTTGTGCAGACGTCGCATTCATATGGGGATGTAATGCTTCTCACAAAAGCTTCAGAACATTCGAAAGTGAGCATTTCCTCTTTCCATTCTTTGTCACAATCACATATTTTCCTGATACAGATTATTTTATTTTTAATTAATGAAACCACAAGCGTAATTTATCAATGCATGCAACAAAAACATGAATATTGGGGGTTCTCTTCTGCTTGGAGCTCACATGCTTAGCATCGGTTGGTGCTATTTCTGAACATGTTAGCTAGGTTGCCTTAGCCAAAAGTTGGATCCCTTGTTTCCTCCCTGTTGTGTATTACTCATTCTATATTTTGCCTAAGCCTAAGATTGGACTCTTTGAACTGGATTTTATGTTTCGTTTTGTCCTCTTCCAGAATTCTAATCGAAACAGAAGTCAAATTGAACGGAAGAATATCCATTGGACTGACCTTTTCCTTCAGCTTGGTAGATTTATTCAAGATTGGATTGGGCCTGAGTGATAAGTGTGGCCAACCTGATTTAACAGACTATGATAACAGTGGTTATCATATCGAGTAGATGAAAGAAGCAAGCTTTTAATGTTTTGGCTGTAAATCATGTTACACACCATTGTCATGTTATGAGTGAAGCTCCTATTTTGATATGGTCAGCATCTCTTGTTAGGTCCTTTCCTACTTCTCCATTTGGGCTGCTTACTGGGCCTGAGCAAGAACCACACCCAAACACGTTTTGGAATTATTTACCACCATAAAAGGAAGAATGATGTAAGGGAGACTGAGGGCAAGTGGGCCCATGGCCCACTTACAAGGACCCCTGGGCCCCTACTGTGGGGGCACTTTTGGAAGAAGTCAGCAGGAGAGTGTGTTGCTCTCGAGTTCGTCCTCAACAGGGACCAAAACAACAACAGAACAATGATATCGACAAAGGAATATAACCAAGAGAAACAGAACAGAAAGGGGTTTCCGGAGGAAACCTTAGAGCACGGGGACGAGTTCGAGAGCACCCCTCTCCTACTGACTTCTTCCAAAAGTGCCCCAAAGTGGGGGTCTCACGGGACCTTGTACCCTTACTCTATAAGTGGGCCACGGGCCAACTTGCCCTCAGTCCTCCCTTACATCATTCTTTCTTTTACGGTGGTAACTAATTCCAAAACGGGTTTGGGTCGTTGGTCCTTGCTCAGGCCCAATAAGTGACCCAAATGGAGAACTAGGAAAGAGCCTAACAATAACCCCCCATCTGTTCCACCTTGTCCTAAAGTGGAAGGCAGGGTAATTGAGCTGGAGGGCAGAAACCAGTTCCCAAATGGCTTCAAAGTCGGGTAGCTGTTGCCACTTGATGAGGATCTCTAATCAATCCGAACCTTGGCATCTTTAGACCTATCTGATTTGTCATAATTTGAAAGTCTAGTCTTGAGCAATACACCATTTGCTACAAGGTCTGCATTCTCCTGATGACAGCTTGGAGTCCCAGGAGACTCCCCTTCATTGTGAATCGTCTCTCACAAGCTTTCAATAGCGAGAGATGCAAAAGCCCTGTCAGTTGCTAGCACAAGCTCTTTAGGCCACACTGCCTTTTCATCATCCCTTTGGGATTCCATTATCAAGGTGATCGAATTCTCCAAGGCCGTCTGGACGCTCGTTCCCGTGCAGCCCACAGCAATAGAAATTGATGAACCTCCAACACGACGTGGAGAAACTTCAGAAACTCGTTGACCCTTACTCTCGCATCTTTGATAGTCTTGAGATGTTTCTGGCTCCAAAACATGAAGGTATGAGCTAGATACGACAATGAAACAAGGTTGTCACTCATCCATACTGTTGTCAATTCCTATCCAACCATCAATTCTCTCATTTTTTGAAAGATCTTGATTTTAGCCCTGCTGAAAATCTTTCTCCACTCAATAAAAACGAGCTGCCAGCTCAGCTCTTACACAAAAAAGGCGCACTCCTAGTATACTCACTTGAATTGTCCATTTCACTGGCACATGGTCAAATGGTTCCTGAATCCTGCTTGGTCTTTTGGTGAATTCAAGTTTGTAACGAGTCCTTTTCCGCATCATAAACCCCTGCTCTGGGTGAATTCTCTTGTTAGCACACCAGTTGAATGGATTTTCTGAAATTTCGTTCATAATGTTAAAGGTTCCACAAAGGGGTGAAGGGTGACCATCCAAATCACCATAGTGACGAAGAAATAGTACTAGAGCTTCTGGAGGAAATAATTCTAGCTGCCAGAGGAAAGGATAAAGAAAGGACAAAAAGGAAAGCCTTTTGGCTGCTAGCGGAAAGGATAAATAATTCTGGCTGCAATGAGGCTCAAGATGATGCTACTACTAATTTGGTTGCTGTTACTTTTCTGACGAGGAATACATATTCCCCTCATGATGACGGTATTGATACACAGATGACAATCTGTATGTCCAAGTGAGTCATATTCTGCAATAGACCCATTTTAGTTGCATTAATGGAATTTAGCCCCAACCTGAGTTTGGTGGATTTGGGAACCAGTATTGGAGCTGAAATCAATGTTTCGAAACCTGAACTTTACCAGGGAATGGAAAGCCCTGAAAATGGTGGATTTAGTGTTGATAAGGATCTCTGGGCCATGGCAAGAAGAGTGGTATTTAATCTTATCACGGACATCAGTAGTGTTTCAGTTTATCTTAACAATAAGGATGGCTTGCTGCTGGAGCAGCATTAACACAGGCCCAATCCTGTATGAAGACCAAGTCTACCAACACCAAACGGAAGTCCAACCAGGAGCAGTGTAGAGACTCTCCAAGGCACCACCGGAATGGAGGTCCTGATCAAATGGAAGGGTCTACCTGACTTTGAAGCTACTTGGGAAGCAGCATCAACCATCCATCACCAGTTTCCTGACTTCCATCTTGTGGACAAGGTGGAACAAATAGGTGTGGGGGAGGAGGGGGGGTTTGTTAGGTCCGGAACTGTTGGGCCCAATACCAGGCCCAATGTCCGAGTTACTTCAGCCTGGAGAGGGAAGGTTAAAATGTAGATGGGTCAAAGGAAGCTGGGCCAAGGGACCATGAAGGAGAATGGGTATAAGGACCCTTAAGGATCCTCACTATGGGGCACTTTTGGAAGAAGTCAGTGGGAGAGTGGGGCGCTCTCAAACTCATCCCCAACTGTTTTAGAGTTTCCTCCGGAAACCCTTGTTCTGTTCTTTCCTATTTTCTGTCTCGGTGGAGTTATTTTCGCCTGTTCCTTTCAGTTAATTTCCCTGGTTGCTACCCTAGTTTCTACCCTTGTTTTGGTCCCTGTTTTAGGACCCTAACATCTCTCTTTCATCTTGCCGAGCTAGTCAACATTATTTTTATTGAAAAGATGGAGCAGTTGATGGATCGGAGGCAGTGAAGGTTAGGGGAATGCAGTGACTTTCCTCCTGTGAAAAGTGCTCTTTGTAAGGAACATAAATTATTGGAGCTCCACTGAGGGGTTCCTGGGGTATTGTGGAACTTAGGCTCAGTTTAAACCATAAGTGGGATACCTTGGTCCCTAGGCAAGGTACATTAAGCTGAACCCAGACTGGTGGATGTGGGCTTGATGATGATGATAGTGATGGTGAAGTTGGCAAGTTTGTCTCTGAGGGGTTCCAGTCCCATGTTTTTCAGAAAGTCATATGTCTTGCCAAAACTAGTGAGGGTGTAAAACTACAAGCTTTCATTTATAAAGGTTGGACTTGCAATACTATTATAAACTTTTATTTGTTAATATTATCATTCTTGTTGGCATTTGGGGAACTTTATGCCATAGAAAAGTATTGATTTTTCTTGATCATGCTTTCAATGCTATGCCTAATTCCTATGGTAATTCAGTTACAGATATTCTTGATATAAACACTGATATAAGCAAGACCTGTATCCAAGGCTGCCCAAGAAAATATATATTTTTGGTCTTGGAAGGCTTGAAATTAAGCTAACTTGGCCAATACCTTTATCCTCATTATTTCATGAGTTCATCCTTGAATAAAGTTCACATTGAAGGAAATGCCACTCCTATTGACTTTCCTGTTTACTAATCTATTTGTTGTTCTTCAATTTTCTGTCCAGGAAAAACCCTCTGCTTACATGGTAGAGATGGCGTGGGTTGAGAGTGTAAGTCCAACTTTAAGTAATGCACGCTTGCTTTTGGTAGAAAGTCTAAACTGTCTCGATTGCCACTACTTGATGCACTTCCCTAGCTGTGCTGCTTCTTTCAGCTCCCCTGAATCAATGTGATTAAGCAAATAATGAAGTTTGTTTCTTCAACCTTCATGAAATTATTTCATGCACATAATTCTCTAATTATATGAAGTTGTATATCTGTTTTTGGTGGATAAGTTTTACCTGTGTTACCGGTTTCACTTTATGGAAAATCCCGGCAAAGATTTTGAGATGATATGTTTATTGTAATTTGTATCAAAAAACTTTCAATCGCCAAACAGGATCACCTATGGACAGTATGGATCGAGCTTAATAGGTCATTGAACTTATTTGACCCTGAAATCATAACAAGTTGCAATGATCCAATAGTACACAACTTCCGACTGCTAATCCTTTCGATGTATCAATCTCCATCCCCAATTCAATTGTTAATTGTTGTCACAGTATCAATCTCCTGTTTCACCAAGTAGTGCTTTGTTTTTTGGTCTAAACAACAGAGATACTAGAACCCACTGAATGCTGCGTCTCATGTTGAGGTATATGTGGATTTTTATTTGAAATTCTACCTCACTTTTGAATTTTTTTGGGGTATTTATTTTAGAAGGCAATTTTGTAGAGGATATTCCCAGAAGTATGCAATCCTTATGTTCGGAAAGGAATTACTTTCAGGACCAACGGCCGACGTTCATGTTTGTTCATCTGTGTCATAAAGACCTCAATCTGTGAGCTTGAATGAGTGGCTTTATTACTTCATGCGACTATAAAACCCCTCAAATACTTTCACATCAGTTTATCCACCGACATAATTGTTTCATCATTTGTCATCATTCATTTCCAATGATGTACAGTTCTGAAAAATCCCAAAAGGATGTGTCATTAGCGGCTCTTGGAGGTTTTAATACGGAATTCTTAGGACTATTTTTGAGACTGGATATTCTTCTAATTATAGATCGTTTCTAGTAATGTATCTGTAAAATATGTTATATGGTTTTCAATATTAGCTTGTATTAATGAGCCTCTCTAGTTTAGTTTTCTGGAAATTAAAGAAATGTTGCTGCACTTTTGGTTTCATTATTCAATAAATCTTTTATATCTATTTTATTTAGTTTTTGATTATTCCTGGAATTTCTGTCGATCTAATGTAACCATCTTTTGTAGTTAGTGAATGTCACTACATCAGAAGCTTTGGAATTCTTGGATAAGTTCCTTGACATGAACCCAGATTCCAAGTAATATTCAGTTTTCTAGAAAATTTGATTTACTTCCTTCTGCAAATATTTTCATCTTCGATTTGTTCAATTGGATCTATCTAATTTAGATGAATATTTACCTTTTTTATTTAAACTCTTGATGTGAATTTAAGTTCGTTAATGTGAATTTTTTATATTTACTTCATCTTAAAAAAAAAAATTATTGATTTATATTTCATAATCAAAATAAAACTTCAAAATATCCCTAATGCTTAGTAAGATCAGTGATAATATGTTGTGCCATAAACAACAGAAAAGTTGTTTGTGTACACACCATATGGTCGATGGATCCCAAATTCTGAAACCCTGAATCAAATAACTTTGGCTCCAAAAGTAGAGAAATCATTCAGATATGATCTTTCGACAATTTTTTGTTTACCTGGAACCTCCAAGGGTCTGAAAATGCGGTCTTAGGCTTCTACCTTTCTTGTCTATGCTAATATGCACTCCCTCCTTGATATGGCTCACTGTTACTCCCTTCAGTTTCTCATGTTCTCTGTCCCAGCTACTCCTCTTTTATGAGGTCCTCCATTCGTTGACGTTAATTTAGTTATGGTTATACTTTCTGCTGCTAGCTGTTATGCCACACTCCTTAGGGAGATTTCTTGCTTCAAACAAAAGCATCATTTCTACATCCTGCTGCTTTTGCTCCTCGCCATTAAGCTTTGGTCAGATTACGGTTACCGTTATCTTTACATAAGCACATGCAACTGTCAACACTTTCTTTTTATTACTTTTGTGACAGTGACTCACATTCTTGGAACCTGAAGGATCTGCATTAAGTTTAGCCACATGCGCTTGCATCCTATGGCAATATTAGTATTTCTCTTCTGTAACGATGTATCTTTGATCAAAGAACTTTTATCATTTCGTTATTCGATCAGTCAAGCATGAGATAGGATTCCTTGTTATGAAGCTCACAGCTCTGTCTCCATCTTTCAAACAATTGTGCCACCTAATCCTTTCTTCTATCGTGTTTACAGTATTCCACTTCCAAAAATACATACCTGGATTCCTCATCCATCAAATCTCTTTGGGACAATATTGTTCTCAGACCAATTTTCTCAACTAAGTGGGCCGTTCAGACACGATTCGGTGCTTTTACTCTTTTTTTTTGATGTTCACTGGGATTGGGAGGTGGAGTAAAGGTCGAAATCAGCTGATTTCGCACACTATGCATGTAACTAATGTTCTAGCCGCATGTGCTTTCCAATTTTTTTTTTTCTCATTAAGAATGCTCAAGTGTTGATTAATCTCAGTGATGAGTTGGCAGCACATCCATCTTTACAGTTTTGCAAGATAGTCACTTCCAGATGGTCATGAATTAGTTTTTCTTTTGAATTCTGGCTTTTCATTGAAGTCGACTGGATTATGATTCAAACTGGTGCGAAATAGTTGCTATTTGCATTCTTTATATGACATCTGGGAGATTTTACTCTATAATAACCGAGCTATTTATGCTGTGTCACTATTTCAGTGGTCGGGTTGATTTTCATGACTTTCTAACATCTATGCACTTGGGTCCTTCTAGTCCACTCTCCGAGAAGGTCAGTGTTCATTTTTGCATCCTCCGTTCTTCTTTGCAATATCTCTTTCCTTTGATTTTTCAGGGCTTGCTGAACGTTAAGCTGGAGACTAGGTTGAAAGAAAAAAAAAAGAAAAAATGAAAGTTTATGCATCTATCTATGTCTGTTTTCTGGTAATTATTTGGGCTCCATCATGTTTCCAAGTCGGGCGTCCTCAGTTGCATTTTAAACCCCGGTTTAGGTTTCCTTTTCACCTCAATCAAAAACTGTGTAGACCCCGCCGAAGATTCACATGATGAGAAGAGGAACTGATGAGATTCGCTCTATGAACTGAGGTAACCGCCAAGTTTGTTCAAAAGTTTATCAGACTTGAGCTTTCCTGTCAGTTCAAAAGGCTTCTGACAGTAGCAACTCATATCGAGCATTTGTATGGCTTTGGATGGTGATTCTCTGGCCGAATGCTTGCTTAGATCACTGTAGATACTGATATAGTTGTGGTCATGGAAGTATTTTAGGAAAATGGCACGGCACAGTTGTTTTTAATCGCTTGGCTTTCCCCTTGACGAGTAACTGTGTGTACTATCATATTCATGCAGACCTTTTTCATGTTTAGATTCTTTCTGCAATTATTTAATCGAATAGGGTATTGATTTATAATTTTTCACTGACGTACCATAGTGATGTGACGCCGTGCATTTCATTATGAAGGTTTTTCGATTCGTCGATGTGGAGAACAAAGGATTTATAACCTTTCGACAGGTAGGAAGAGAGAACCAGTATCCTCAATAATCTCAAATTCTCGTTCCATTCAAGAGCATAGTTATTGTGGACTGCATTTCTCCAAACGTGAATTTACTTTGAGGTCTTGGACTATATCAACAATGATTTTTCCTTAGAATTCGGATACTTTATTGATCCACTTGCTTCCCCAATTAAGTGATTTCCACTTGCTATTCCGGTGTAAAGTAGAGAAAATACTGTCCTTATAAAAGAAGCCTGATTTCCCAGAGGAGATGGCCTGCTTACTATATTTTAATTGGGATGACCCGAACCGATGCAGTTTTTGCTGGGCTCCGGCAGCATATTAAAGCAGGCGTCATTTCAGCAGACGTGTGGGGAAATCTTCAGTGAATGCAGCAGTGGGGATCTTCTGTCGAGAGAGAAGGTAATTTCTTCCTTGTCTGTTCTACGTGTGGGGGCATGAGGTGTTTGAGGCTCTGACCCGTCTGGCCTCTGCAGCTGGGGGAGGTCGTTGGATCCGCAATCCCTGGAATCTCCTCGGAAACTGTAAGCTCTTGAGCACTAATCTTTACTCAATGATGGCCGCTAGGCTTCTTGACTGTCCTCTCCTGGTTGCAGCTTCGTGAGCTCTTCAGGTCATTTGATGTCGACAAAGATGGGGTGGTCTCTAGGAGAGACTTCATGGAGTTCTTGCAGAAGAACCCACTGATGATCGCCGTCTTTCTGGTCAGCAAGAGGCCTCATGACTCAATGGACGTTTATTACTGAATGATATATCTCACGTTGACTATGGGATTCTTTTTCCCATCTCCGGCTCAAGCTTGCCCGTGTGCTTTTGATAAATGGGATGTGAAGAAACTTCTGGGAGAGGGATTCTAAGGAAAACGGCGTGGAGTCGGAAATGGTTTTTCAAATTTGTACTTGTAAATGTCGATTTTTAGACCCAACATTCTTTGAAAGATTGTGTGATGCAAGCTGAAGTCGATTACCCCTGCGGAGAAATTGTCTCTGTAACCATTATTATTATTATTAATAAAAAGGCTTTCATCCATTGTGGAGATTTAGATTTATGGCGTGGCCCGAGACATCGTCACTTGGATCCTCAGATTTCAGATTGTGAACTTTTTGCTTACTGTGAAAGAGAGAGAGAGAGAGAGAGATTATGGCATTTCTTACTGTGAAAGAGAAAGTCATGAAACATGTCCCGTAGCAAGGCTTCTTTCCCAAATATTTTCTAAATGAAGTTGTCTTTTTCAGAAACTAAAAGTATCTTCCTTCCCAAATATTTTTTACATGCACACGCTTGAGATTATTGCCAATAAAGTGTATTCTTCCTGAAAGGCAGATTTAATCGCTTAAATGATCACACAAGAGACTATTATCTACAATCTTCTGGCTCACTCATGTCGCCCTGAAGCTGGGAATCAGCGTCTGTAAGGTAAGCCAAGGTAGGCATTGTGAGGAACTAGATGCCTACACATGGGACATGCACCCTCCCCCCCCCGCTGTCGTATCTGTACATTAAAAAAGAAACAAAGCTTCTGGTCGCAGTACCCAGAACCAGACCTCCCGCCTCCAGTGAAGCCCACATACAGTAAACCTTGGAAGAGTAGCTTCTTCTTCATCACAGCTGGATTGCTCGGCTCGTTGCTATTTGAGGTCACGATATGGTCAGCTTCCAATAGCAACTGCTGTCGATTATCACTGCTGGACGGGGACGTCCATCCAACGACCCACAGCTTCCAATCCTTCAGCTGCTGCAATCAGGAATGTCCAGCACGTTGTAGTATAAACACGAGGACGTCCCGTCGAACTCCGAGCTCAAATGGTGGGCTGAAAGCCCGCAGTAGCGCTTGGAGAGACGTTTGATGCAGATATCAATGATCTTCCTGAACAACTGGTCCCCCCGAACGGTCGGCTGCTCGACGAAGTCAACGAGGGGCATCCACTGGAGATAGGACAACACAGTTAGGGAGGGAGCAGACATCCCATAGAAGAGATAGGACAACACTCTTTTCTTCTCTCTTTCTCTACGAACCAGCCCAACGAGGAGCAACCACTGGAGCGGGAGGGGAAAAGGGAAGCTTTCAGTTTCTAATTTTTATAGATTGACCAACCATCTGAGAAACCAAGTCCACCGAGATGTGGGTGGGTCTTCTCTACTAATAACACATCTTTGAAGTAGGAGGAGGCCAACCACTGGGGAGTGAGGGAAGAGGGCATCAGATGTTGTTATTGATAAATCCTTTGCAAAACATTTCACGTCTGGGTTTTCTGAAAAAGTCAACCACGATCACAAAGGAAACTCTTTGTGCCACAGATATTTACCCAATAATTTCAGAAAATCAGTCCCCAATGTGAGGAGATATGTTCCAGATGAAATTTTCTAGGTTAGCCTTCCCGAAGATTTTGTCAACGTTCTACTACCAGGAGGAGGTGAATTCTGGCTGCTCAATTTCCACAGAAACATTTCTTCTTCTCATCATTAGTAAAACATGAAGGAAAGCCACAGCGTCAGGGATCATGGCTCACCTTGGCTGCTTGGATTTCGAGATCATCTATTTGAATTGTGGTCGTCAAAGGTCTCAGCATGCAGATGAAGAACAGATCGGACTTTTCAAATGCCACGCGATGAGCATGCCTGAGAAGGGAAGTACACAGAATAAATGCCACTGATGCGATCGCGCAGTCAAGAGATTTAAAATTTGTTCTTGGCACCGGGTCGAAAAACAAATTAAATTATGAAGATCCAGATGGTTGATTCAGCAATTTTATGCATCATTATATTCTAATATAAACACTGGGAAATGAGGGGGAAAAAAAGGTTCTTACCGGAAGGCAACTACCTCCTCAAATTCTGTATCAATCTGCATATTCATCAGGAATCATTGATTAAATACAGTTCGATCACTTCTTCCATCCTTTTAAGGGAACAGCCAAGTACTAATAAAGAATAAATAGTGTGATGGATTGGCAACTTACACCAGTTTCCTCCTTAACTTCTCTCACAGCTCCCTCGAAAATTTCCTCGGCCTGACAAGCCAAGGAAAGAAAAAAAACTCGAATTTAGAGAAGAATAGTATATTTTCTAGTTTCAAAATTGATAAAGGAATAAATACCTCGAGAATGAAGCCAGTGGGCAACTTCCAGAAACCAGAAAATGCAGGCGCACAATGTTTTTCTTGAACCACGAGAACCTGCAGAAGATGAAAATTTTGATGAAAAAAAAACAAAGCAAACACTCGTGATTTAATGATGGACAGAAATAGTATTAATTGAAAATTTTATATTATATCACTAGTTAGCAATGGAATTTTTTTTTTTTTTAAAACACTTGTGATTCAATGATGGACAACAGTAAATAATCACTGGAATATTTAAACTGATCGTAAATATAGCCTTTCCTTGATCGACGTTACCTCATTTTTGTCATTTATCACAAATCCTCCGACTCCAACTTGGTGAGAAGCGTTCCCAGGAAGCATACTGGGGCCTTCAGAAATCCAGTAGGCTAGCATTACATAGTCTTCCTCTGCATGATGATACTTGAACCCTTCCTGGATCACAACACGAGCGTCTGAGTAAAACATTCGCATGGCGTATACACAATATAGCGTGCTGTCCATAACCTAATGAGTCAGTTTTTAAAATATTATGAGCCAAAATGACCCACTTTCGGATCTAAATTATGATCTGGCTCATATTAAAAGGGAGAGGTCACGACGTGGACCACAGATACTGGGTGTTCAGATGATTCCCACCTTCAAAGCAATAGGCACGAGATCAGAGAGCTCAAGTGGCAGCTTGAGCCAAACTCCTTTCTTCCCCTGGATCAAGACACAAGAAGAAGTTTCGATCAGGATACAGTGAGTGACACGAATAGTGACTAGATCGGTTCATAATTTATGAACAAGCTCGACCCAGCACCCACTTTGCAATAAAACCTTCAAAATATCCACATAGTCCCCTAGGTAAAAACATATGAACTGCGTTATTATTGCAGACTTGACACATATTTAAAGAATATGTCACTCCATTTAAATGATCATCGAATTAGAATCAAAAGGAATAATGCGGGCTTCAGTCTGTTATATTCAGAGGCCAGATACGGCTATCTAAGAATACCTTCAATCTCCAGTGAAACAGGGAGGTCTGCAGAGCAGAGGCAAAGATACTTGGATTATGTGGTAATCTCTCTGAATCAATGATGACCCCGTCGTATTCGTCGTCTGCAGCATCCAGCACGTAGCTTTTTCTTGTGTATGGCCTTTTATATGCTTTACTGAGTCCAAAACCTCTGGACAAGTCGTTTGGCAGGAACTTCTTCTGACTCTCTAGCTCAATTCCTTTTCTGGAAATTCTAGCAGATGAGCAGGATACATCTGGCAAGATGACCTGGGTCAGTGAGACACAAGGCTCGAGAGCCGTAGAAGAATATCAACTAGAAGGAACTCCTGTGAACTCCATAATTTAATGGATTAATGAGTTTGAAGCACCGGAGTACAGATCGTACAGATTAGACTAAAGAGTAGAGCTTGAAGACCCGAGTAAGAATCACACAGTTTTCGGCAATGGCTGGATGATTCGAACTCTGAGAAACTGGATAAAGGATTTATCCCGCTTTCGGTAAATTTTTACCATGAAGCCCCCTTCAATTCAGACAACCTTGAGAGAGAGAGAGAGAGAGCGAGAGAGAGAGAGAGAGAGAGAGAGAGAGAGAGAGAGAGAGAGCTTCTACCCCTGGCTGGCAAAGAACATTGCTTTCCCCAGATTCTTCGGCAGCACCTCCGCCCCACAAATGGGGAGGAGAGGCTTCTCTCCAAGGACAAAACATTCGACTTCACCATCCCGCTTGAACGACCCCTCACGCAGCTACAAACTCTGCCAGAAGATGGTCCATTTATATTCTCATAACCCACACGGCCGCCCAGAAACCCCGACAAAAACATGGAAACCCGATGCACATCATGCCAAGTCCTTCACTCCACCGGCGACTAACAGCGACGAGAGAGAGGACAACCGGCCGCGTAGGAACCCGCCAATGTCCCTCTGACGTGAGCTTCAGCCCCTCCACAGTGGGGAGGATATTAACATGCAGTCGAATACACCTCCGTACCGGGGATTAGGGAGGCGATCGCTGTGCCCAATCCACAGCGCACACGCGGACAATAATATGCTATGGCCGGCGGGGCTCTCTGACGCGGACTCCATTCCTCGTGCTTGAATTCCGTCTCTTTCTCCACAGAGCCTTCCCCGCCCACGGTACTACATTAAAAATAGCGGAGGATAGGGAGTGGGTATCGATCGGGCTGGGAGTTGGGCTCAAAATTGAAATTCATCGTAGAGAGGGAGGTCTCCAAGGCGTCGCTATTGGGGAGCTGATTGATTAATGGTTGCCGTGCACTGAGAAAAAAAGATGGGGGGAAGCAATTGGGGAATCATGCCCAGGCACAAGGGTAAATAAATATCAAGAGATGAGAGCTGGGGAGCTAAAGATTCATCGCGCTGGTCGGAGGATGTCCCCGTCCAGAGACGATATTTTTCGGGTCGACGCAGCGCATGTGATTCACGACGCGGCCATGGTGGTGGTTGGGCTCTCAGGCGGGACCTCAAACGGGGGGACTTTTCCACGGCTGAGGATTGAAGAGAGACCGGGGGTCATCCGACAGGGAATTCCGCCCCGTGGCAGAGATCGGACAGGGAGGTTGAGTCAGCTCTCGTTCCAGCCCATTTGGATAAGAGCTCGTTCCAGAGGCCCCGTCGGTTCTTTTAACTTCTTTTAAAGATTTGTTTTTTCTAATCACCAATCAGTCAATCAATCATTGGGATCGGTGGCCGTCCTGTCGATTGATGATAAGAATCTAATCCCAAATTAGTTACTCAATATGTAAACTTCTGAGCAGGAAAATAAAAATCTCTGAACCCATTTTTATCATCATATCTCATAGTTGCCCATTTTTTAATATAATGATGGAGAGAGAGAGTTTATGGAGAGAGAGAGAGAGAGAGAGAGAGAGAGAGGAGGGTACACATGAGATTAGCATAGAACACCTATATGACAAAGAAGATGGACACCCTGAATTTCTAAATATAAAGTCAGGGTTGCTCATGAACAGAGCAACCTGTGCATGTTCGTCAATAAATACCCAGATAAACATACATCTTAAACGAAAAGAGGAAAATTACCACAAAAAGTAAATAGCAATCTTATATATTGATCGATTTCGTCAGTTGAGAAATATGGTCATATTTTTTAATGATGATAAATAAGACCAAGACTGGATTTACAGGCATACATTTAATAAATAGTGAAGGAAGGGGGGAGGAGGGGGTTAAAGCTCAGAGAGCTCAGCTATGCTCGGGGGACGGCCGGACATACGGCTCGAATAGCCGAACCGAAGGGTTGGGATCGTACTGCATGATCTCAGCAGCCCGCTCGAACTCCTCCCTCAGGATTTTAATGGTGAACTTGTCGACCACACGCCCGAGATCGTGGGAGAGTTCAAAAGGGTCCTCTATACAGATCAAGTGCCGGTCGTTCCCTATCCGCCTCGTCCAGTCCTTGGATTGCTTGCTGCAGGAAGAGAGAGAGAGAGAGAGAGATGGAATAAATAAGTGAAAGAAATTAAGAATTCAAGGAAGGTAGAAGAACGACCAAGATCCACGTCTGACCTGATGATGCCCCCCGTCCGCACGGATATGACGTCGTTGGCGTAGTCATGATGGTATGCCCAGTAGCTGAAAAATGCCCAGAGCAACTCTGCGATGCTCTCCCTGTTCACGGACCCGAAGTGCTGAAGCTTCTGAACTTGGTCAAAGAAGGCACATTCGATGCCATCCACCGTCACCATGTACGTCGGTTGCATCTCCTGGCGAGGAGCAGGAGGAGCAAGATGAAGTCAACAGGGCGTGGCCGTGGGGAATTCAATGTCTCATCAGGACAAGTACAAAGGATTTTGACGATCTGGAGCGGGCTCTGACCAAATGAGTCAGATTTTTAACAGGACGCAAAACAATTGAATACTTCAGCAGAAGAAAATTTGAGAGTCTTGAAGATCTGGACTGGGTTTTTTCGACCAAATGCGTAAAGCCACTGGTTTTGACCAGATATTTCCAAAGTCTACCTTTCAAAAACATTTGAGAAACTAAAAAAGAAGGGTAATTGGTTCACTAAGATCTGCATTCATTCTCAACCTATCATGATATTTAAACAACAGGGAAAACCCACAAACCTGCAAGCAGGGAAGAATGGCAGGTCTACGCAGTTGCAGAAAGTGGATGCACATCAGCACATACCTGCGGGGGCGGGAGGGTTGAAAAAAAATAGAACAAAAATTGAAGTCAAGATACACCTGCCGCCTGCCTGACGACTGTCGTGAGAGATTTGGCGGGCATTGTCTTACGCGTAGCTAGAGAGGGTCCCCTGGTACGTGTCGTTGACTCCACGAGACTTTGCCCAGTGCTTGACGATGATGACGAGCTGGCGTAACCGGTGGTCTATTTGAGAATAGTTCCTGAGAAGCTTGGTGTTAACAACGGCCAGTATGTTGTTTATGCAAATGTCGCAGGAGATTCCAGTCGCAGGATCCTTCAGCTTCACTATCGGGACCCTCGCACGAGTCAGTGCCTGCGAGCATCAGACAAATTCCGAGAGCCAAAGTGGCATGAGATGTCAACAAAGTCAGCGCTGAGGCACCTCCTCTGAACATAATCGTTGTAAAGCGCTCCATCAAGGAGGTTTTATGCGGCTGGCCAATAGAATCATCAACCCATAAATCTCTCAATGGCCATCCTCCGATCAGAAAGCATAATATTGCTCTGGCAAGAGGAGCTACTTTTGCCACTGAGGAATATGCATCTGAGGTTTCGAGTAATTTCCCATTGCAAAAAAGAAGTGTTCAACCAAAATAGCACATCATTGGAGATAACTATAAATTGTTTAAGAAAAAAAACTAGAAATTTGATTCATTGTGGGGGAAAAAAGAATGTCAAAGAGAAGCTTTTCTTTGATCATGGCAACTTTGTAAGAAGGTAAACAACTTGAATGGCACTCGAGTGGTTTCACTCTTCACTGATCCATGATACATCAGGGGAGACAGGAAAAATTCCAAAACCTTGGACACAGAAAGCAATCAAACGGGCATGAAGATATCAAAAGGGAACTGTCTGCTTATGCGGCAGTTTCCCACCGTTTTCTGCAAGGTGTTATGATTGCTATGTTTTTCACAGAGGAACGGACATCGAAGGTACCAGCCCCCATGACTGCAAATTAGAGCTATTGTTTCCATTGTCTCAGTTTCCTGCTGCCATTAACCTACACCAATGCTGGTAGGTTCTTTTCCACGATATGTTCTTTCATCATTTCACTCTTCATTATTTTTTTCCAGCATCCATTTCACCTCATTTCTCACAACTTTTCCTATATTTACATTCAGAAATTAAGAAAAGTTCAGGATCAGATTTATTTTCCTTGTACAAAGTGGATTCAAACTGGGACTGCTGTCAAGAAACGTACATCCTAGTTCCACAGTTCTTGCAGAACTTCACCAATAACCCCCCAGAAAACTTTTAACATGAATTTATGCAAAAACCATAAATATCAAGAGTTCTAGCTTAAAACATAAGAACAGTATACATCTCACATAAGCAATAAATATGCTATAACTGATATCTTTTACAGATCTCCACATTAAAGTGTATCACGACAGCATCAACTATGATTCATCGAATATATATGTCTCAACCACAATTTATCAAACACAATCCTTTCCAAAATGCCTTAACAGCTATTCATGAAATATGCTCCAAGAAATTTTGGATTCAGTGGTCTTCATACCACAGGTTTAGAACGTTTCATTAAATATCAACCTGTTTCACAGCACCAACAGGAGACAAACTAGTGTTTATGGGGTGTAAGGTCCAACCTTACCGTGCGACTGTCTTAATCTCTCCCGAAAAGAGGTGCCCATTTTAGAGTTCTTTTCATATCCAGAAAATAATGATCTTTAAGATGATATCAACTTCAAAACTGATGGATCAGTGAAAGGACAAAAGTTTACTCCTACCTAGAAAGAGCATTAGTTTTTAAACAATGATTTTAAAGTCAGCAAGACCGCCTCACGCATGAAATCTGTAGATTCCTATCTTTAAAGAAACAATACAAGGCAGGGGAATATTAGATACATACGCATAGACAACAACTAGCAGCACATGCAATGAAATTTAGAAAAGAATCTCCAATATTCACCTGCACATCTTGAAGATTATCTGACTGCAAAATTTCTGCTAACCTCAGCAGAATCTTAGACTTGTCAATTTCCCCATCACTGATTGCGAGGCAAACATCGATATCACAGCTTGAGGCACCGAAAGAATTTGCACAAGATCCATAGAGATGCAGTTGAGCGTTTGGCCATTCTTTGATAATTAATTTCTCTAAAGACTGTAACAACTGTTTCTGCTTCTCCTTCTCCCCTTCTGATGGTGTAAGAGACTCATAAATTGAGATAAACTGAGGTGCAAAACTTGTTATATCATGACGGGTTCGCAACTCTCTTCGGCGACTCCTCATTCTCTGGCTTGATACATGATGTCCTCTTGATAAATCGGACCTGTACTCCTGAGCATTTAACCGAAGTAGAAAGGTAGAACATGTCAGGGATGTTCCATGCAACTTAGGTGTTTAATGTTGGTAAAACTTGAACACGAGGCATTGTAATTTGAACCAAAGAAAAAACAAACCCGCGCTTCTAACAGGTGAACAAGACTAGTTATTAGCTAGATCGAATCACATGTATTTCCTTCATCAGATATGAAACTTGATGAACTTAGGAGGATTGGGTTTAGTTCCGTGAACTAAATAATGTAGGAAAACAAGTATGCAAGCATGCTAGAAGAACGTAAATAAAAGAAGTATGGGGCCTCTACAATTTCAAAACTATTTGAAATGATCTGTCTCAAAGGCACAATAGAAACCTAATAGCGACACCAAATTCAACAATTCATGAAAAATAATAAAAGAATCCTTGGGTTTTACCTTAACACGAGAAGCATGCACGGCCAATTTTGTCTCAGAGCTTTCATTAGAAAGCACCAAAGATTCTACGAGCTCTACACATGTCAGATCCCTCTCGTTGCTAGAGTCCTTTGAGAACGAAAGACCCCCTGCTCCTCCATCACCAATCTGCTGTTCTCTCCTATGGGCCGTGGAGACAACATTGAAGGGCACGTCTTCTTTATGTTGATTGGCATTTGAGGAAAAAATAGATCGGGTATGGGTGTCCAATGGTGGACCACGGTGATCTAGCAGGGGGCCGTGCTGCAGGGGGCCGTGCTGCAGGTGTCTAGACAGCAAATCTTCCACGTGATATGAAAGCCCACGAGCCTCTGCTCTCTGAATCTCTACTTGCTCCTCCAGATTGCGGCTCAAATTTTCACCATTACTCAGCGGCGCTCTGTTTCTCTCATCATTTGCTTCCCTGTGGGGATACAACGGCCTTCCAGACTCAAGGTTACCAGAATTCTGATGAGGAAAAGCCTGTGACGCTCGAACCAGGCGGCCTCCAGTTTCCCTCCACTGGTAGGGATGTGCTTGTGACGGGTGAATCAGATTAGACCCGGGAGGGCTGCTGGAGATGGAGTGCCTGCTATGCATTACTTTGTCCCCTTCATGATCAGAACGGGCTGAGAGGGCGTGGGCAGTGGAGCGGGTGTTCAACGCACGATGCTGAGCTTCCACACCCCAGGGAGAAGAGGTACTGTTGCCGGGGAGAAGGGAATCACGACCAGGGTGATCACCAACGCCGGGACTCCCAAAAGATCCGAAGACAAGTTGCGAGCCCTCTGTGGGAAGCGCATCTCGTCGAGGCTGCTGCTGATACTGCTGATGTGGACTGTGGTGCTGCGGATTCTGGACATGCCCAGGATTCTTGTAGAGATCCCTCTGATCGGGCCGGCCGCCCAGAAACCCTAATTGCGGGGGGAACCCAGAGATCGTGCCCTGCGAAGAAGAATGATGGCGGTGGGAGTTGTGTCGTTCATGATGATGAAAACCAGGCGGCTGCGGCGGCGGCGGCCTAGATTCCGAAGGGTTTGCCGCCCAGGGCGCCTGGTGTAAACCTGGATGACCCGGCCACGGTCGGGGAGCGTGTGGATGAGAATTTGCAGGAGCCGCAGAGAAATCGAGAAAGCCGCCGATCGGGGGTCGTGGCTGAGGGAAGGGAACGCCAGGCGCGAACACGGCGACTGCTGGGTCACGGGGGGTTCCTCCGTCCCGGCTACCTGGTAATGCCGACGACGACGACGACGGATGATGAGGTTCGGCCGGGGATTGGGTGCGCCCCTGGAGGAGATGCAGTAGAAACTCCCCCCCAGTCATAGGAGGCGAAGCCGCGGGATCTTCGGGACCACCACCCAGGCCTCCGCCGCTAGGAGCTGTGGCTGGTTGTGGCGCCGACGATGTTGCCCCCCGCTCCGCTAATAGTCCGGGCAGCGACGACGATGGAGGTGCTACGCCAGCGTCCCGGGCAGCAGCGCCGCCGCCGCCGACGCCGCCGCCGTCAGCCATGCGGCAGGTTTGAGGCAAGGGAAAAGTACGCGCAACCTGCTGCTAGCAGTATACTAGTTGAGGCAACAAGGGGTTTATTAACATATCCACGGTTATGGCTCCCAGTTCTTCGCTACTACAACTACTCTTCGATATTAACCCACGATCAGATTACAATCTTCAACAGCATGCATCTATATGTATCTTTGATTAGATTTCCTCTCTCTCTCTCGGCTCTGGCTCATCACCCTTTCAAGTGCTAGACTTGAGAACCCAACAACACAGGCCTCTTACTTTCGAAGAACCTTTCTTTCCATCTTTGTCTGCTTCTCAGAAGTCAACCTCTCCAGCACTATGTTTCGAAAGCAGACCTATTAACCATGCTTACAAGAAGAATCTCCAACCCGTTGACCAATTAATTGGCTTTCAATAATCTGTCTCGTAACTCCTCTCTCCTAAATCAAACACTAAGCTGTTACATTGTAGGAAATACCAACGATTACCATGCTTGTTAGAATCTTCTCGTAAAATTATCTTATAGATCTCATCATTGAACAATATTATGAAATTCTCTCTCCCCTGCCTCTCTCTCTCTCTCCCATTCACACAAACACTCCTCTCTATCATTATGTAGAACCTTAGAGACCCATAATCTGATGTTTATGGCACCAAACGGTTTGCACTTGTAGTTCTACAACTAATAATTAATTGAATTTTTGGTCATCGAGTCTTTGGAAATGATCCCCAATTAGAAAATATGAAAGATTGAAATTCATTTTTATTTGAATTTTTTAGAATAAGTATCCTCACCATTGGCTGGCCTTCCAACAGATTACTTAATTCTCACATGTTTTAGCTTCCTGAAAATATCTAAGATTTAATGGCCCCAAGCTGGTTTCCTTTTCATACCCCTAGCTCTTCATATGCTCAAGAAGAGAGAGAGAGAGAGAGTCTTTGTTGCATGTACACAATAAATAGCTACCTAGAGAACATGTAGTTTGACTTTTGACCATGACAAGATCAAAACAGTATATTTAGCAAATTATCATGGACTAATATTTTTATAAAAGTCTGCAAAATGCATTGACCATGTTAGTTATAAAGAGCATCTCTCCATCTTGTTGTCAACTTTTGTAATAGTATACTTTGAAAGGAATCTTCATCTAATATTTTTGAAAAGTGCTGGAAAAATGTTGACCTTATTGATTTTGAAGAATATCTCTATTATTAATAAAAATCTTAAATGTAATAATTTGGAGATTCCCCTGATTTATCAACGTTTTAAACATATTTGGACATGTTGACCTCAATTCTAAAGAATATTTGTTTCTCCCAAATCAGTTTTGTAAATGTGATACGTGAACATATTCTCTCAATTAATGATATTAAAGGTCTCCAAATACACTTTTGTAAGTTTGAATAATTTCTCTCCCTCTCCTCTATCTTTCTCTCTCCAATATCCTTATCTAAAACATTTTTTAACTATCCTCAGTCAAGATACTTATGGTAACATTCTTCAAGTAATTTGACCTTGTTAGTTTCAAGTATCTCTTTCTCCCTCTCTAGTTACTATCATAAAATAATCTCTCAAGCATTAGTTCTTTTGAAAATGACTCAATGATCATAGTTATGATAGAGATAAATATGTTTACCTTGTTAGTTTCAAGGAATCTCTTCTTGTAAATAAAACCTTTTCAACTACCATACTTTTTAAAATAGGTAGTGCGCACATTTCATGAACATTGACTGATAGCTCAAAATTGCTCCCTTTCTCTCTATTTATTTATTTGAGAGACATTTGGCACCTATGAACTCGATTTTATGATTTTTTTAAGAATTTCAATGATAACACAATGATAGCAGAATTTTTTTGGCTATTCTAAGCTAGAGGATATTATTTTAAGTATTTCACTCATGAAATTGTATACTAGTTCAATCACCTTGACTACTCCACTATCAAAGGATCACATCTATAAGTTTCGTTAAATCCTTTGTGAAATGCATACTAAATGACAGACTTCGACCACCTTCACTAAATTTAGCAGCTCTAATTGACTCAAAATTTCACCTAGAAATCATCTTTTATATTCATGACTATGGAGACTAACAGAGGAGACCCACTCATCTCTTCCAAATGAACAACTCTAAGGGCCAATGAAATTAGCACTAGCTATTCTCCTCTAGATTGAGGTTCTAGATCTACATGAGTATCAACCATAATTTAAAATACAAGAACAAATAGTTACCATCTTTGTCACTTAAGATCTAAGCTTTCTAGAGGCTTGATTCATATGATTTCTCATTTATGATGCTTTTTGTTGAGGGTGTACCTTGTTGCTCTTGTTGGTCTTTAAATTTTCACCCTTCATTTTGATTAATTCATCATTCCTTGCCTGATACTCTGGTTTTCTGTTGAAGAAATTGTTATTAACTAATCTACCTTCTTTCTTTATTTTCCTAAGGATCATATTGTGGTCCAAAATTTGTCTTTTCACTTAACTAGTGCATCCCCAGATTTCCTTTCATTCTTACCATTAAATATTATATATATTGGATTATATGCAACTTATTTGGGCATTTTCAGGGTTTACGAGAATATTAAATTCAGATTCTAGCTCAAAATGGTGATTTTTACCTTTGATCCTAGCTTTATCAAGTTTTACTCTTTTCTCGATATAAAATCATTAAGATCATCTAAAATAGTTAATTCTACAATGATGAATTTTATAAATTTATTCTTAAATAAAAAAAATCATCATCAAAAAAATATATATTTCAAGAGAAAACATATTTTTTTACCTAACATGTCAATTTAATCAACTCATTTTTATCCCCACAAAACCTTATACTTTGGCCAACTTGTATAGATCTTTTGTAGGCGTGGAAATGATAGCAAAAAGGGCTTAAAATTTAAGTTAATAGGGGAAAAGTAATTATGAAAAAAATTACAACCAATATGTAAATATGTGTGTGTATATTGAGAAGCAAATTTTAGGATCTATTTTGAAAATAGAATGGTCGATTTTGTAGTTGAACGGTTTTTCCAATTTCAGATATTTACGTAAAGTGTTTATTTTATGCTAACTAATCTTTGTACTTTTTCAGATTTTCAGCAGCCACAAAATAGTCAGAACTGGTCTCCCAATAGCTAAATCACTCTCTTGTGTCTAACTTCCAATTTGTCATTTTTCTTCTTTTGTCGTTTAGCAGTGCATTTAACTTCTCTATTTTTCTTCTTGGACTCATGTCAACTCTTTTTTTGGTTAGAGAGAGGGCACAATCTTATAGAGAAAATAGCTCAAAAATATTGAATAAATTCTAGAAAGATATGAGAGTATTGTGATACATTTAGTCATGTCTAAGGGTCATGATGTTCCACAATACTTTTAATATGAAATGGCCATCATACCCTTGAGGTATTTTCCTCTATCTGATATCTATCTTCCGCATGTGATTTATGTTCCTATCATAGGGAGTTTTGTAATTTTAAGATTATGATACCATCTTTCTATGCATGTTGCCATCATCAAAATCATTAAGGCTCTCAAAAGCAACATATTTTATAAGAAATAAGTGATGATGATTGATTATCCAATGAGGGTGATTTAGAGGAGTTATCAATGAAAAAAGAAAGAAGATTTGATGAATCAAAAAAAATTGTCTAAAAAAGTTAGAAGCTGATTTGATGTCACTATTTTTGAACCATTGAAGAGATTCCAATAGAAGCAAGAAGCCATAAAACTGTCATTTGATAAATATTCCATAAAATACCACACAATGCAATTTTTTCTTTAAATTGTATTTATTTATATTTTCATACAAAATTATATGACTTGTCACTTAAAATTATGAAGGAAAGAACAACCATACTGTTGACAAGTACATAGAATAAAGGCAACATATAAAGGGAATAAGCTTGTGGATACCTATAAAAGAACTTAGATATGTAAAAAGTCATAGAAATCAAGAAATACATCACCCCTAAGGTCAAAATAAAAAGTGCTCACTTATATTTACTTATTTCTTTGGTAGATTTAGACTTATTTGGTTTTTACCTTGGTTCATATGCAGTTTACTTTTCCAAAGATCTTATTAAAAACAATTTGTGAAATGAACTGTGCAACACCCAATATTTTGGACAAGATTAATGGTCATTCAAGTATGATCCATTATTTTTCACCTCAATATATTTTTCTCATAACATAATTCTAGATATGAAATGGTAAATATTATACATAAGTTCGAAACTTCCTAATCTTATGCAATTAAAATATTTATAAATTATTATTATTTAGTATCTTTTAATTTATTGAGTGTATGTTAATTCTTCAATTGGCTTCAAATAATATTTCAAATCATTCTTATTAGTAAATCGGTAATTAGAAATAAATCCGAAATGTTTGCTCACCAACATATTGGATAAATATTTATATATTTAGTATTCATATAATCAAAACTTGGAAATTTTAGATCGTTCATATTTACTAAATATTTGGAGCGTCATTTTATTTGGATGAAACTTGTGAGAAAAAATCAACTAAATTAGTACAAAATAAGAGCTTTTTTAGTAATGAAAAATTGGCTTATCATGTTCAATAATGGCACTTTAGATGAGTATCATTTCGTAGACACCCTAAATGTAGGAAGATTTGCATAATGAGATAAGTACTAATGTAGTAAATAACAAACAACAGCAAAACTGCCGTCATAACCATGTGTTTCTATCTCTCTCTCTCTCTCTCTCTCTCTCTCTCTCTCTCTCTCTCGCCCCCTCCCTCCGATGGGATAGACAGTTGTTCCCCCTCTCCCACACATCATTTTCTCCCTCTTTACCTCTCCCTTGCTAATCTCATACACACCCCCCCCCCTTCTCTCTTTTTGTTCTGCATCACTTGAAAAAATTTAATACAGGTAGGTTCACATTCATAGAACATGCCGAGCATATTCTTTGGATTCATAGCTATTTTTTGTAGGGACCCTTCAGGTAACCTAGATGAATATATGAATTTCTATGTAATTACAGGATGTTTTAGGAGTCAAATTTGACATAACATTTTCAAAACTAAGGCTCCCTTCTCAAGCATGGTAAACCTAATCTAACTTACAGCGTTTCCAAACATAAAGCCGTTATCCGCTTCCGTGAGCCCTTTTCTGCCTGATGTGACTGTTTACACCATGTAGTCCGCCGAAGCTCATTCCTACCCAGCAGACCAGAGTTTCCTTTTTGTTACGAAGTTTTGCGTGTTCATGCGATTTGTTCTTTCCCTGCATGCATGGGCGGCTCATAGGCACAGGATTAGCGAGAAACGTTCAGATTTGGCTTGGAGTTGTCCCGGACGGAGAGGTTTATTCTCAAAAAGAGGCAAGTACAAACCGAGGGAAGCGGCGTTAAATTCGAATTCCAAGCTAACCTTCTAATTGTACTGTGGAAGAAGGAAGGAAGACAGGGTGTTATGGAGGACGCCATCAGCTTGATTTTCTCTTCTTCTTGACAAGGCCTCTATCTCTCTCTCCCTCTTCTTCTTCTTCTTCTTCTTCTTCTTCTTCTTCTGTTTGTAGGGTTTCTGAGGAGGCGGCTTGTAAGAGGAGGATGTTCCGGTGTATTCCTTGTCTGAACACCAAGGGCTTCTTGGAGAACCTCACGTTCCATGTACGCCAAAACGCTCTGTCCTCTCTTCCTTCAAGGTTTTTCAACGGTGTGATGCCTTCCATGGGCCTGTGGTTTCTGTAATATCGTCTTGGCGTGACATCAGGTAAAGGAGGAGCCATACGACGAGCACGGCCCACCGCAGACAGCGGCGACAATTGAAGTGATGAAGGAGGCGACAGAGAGGTTGAAGAAGAAGAGGAGAGAGAAGAAGAAGAAGCAGCAGATGATGACGGGCGATGGTGGTGCAAAAGGAGGTCGCGTTGTGCAAGAGAGTGAGGGGGGAGAGGAAGAGGACGAAGAGTGGGTGGCGGAGGTCGACAGAGGAGTCCTCCTAACCTTAGTTTCTCTACCCCAAGGGGGTAACCGGATCGAGAAGATACGCTTCAGGTTCGTCTCGCCCGCCCCTTCCGCACCAACTTTCTCTACCATTACCTTTCTTCCTTTAGAGCCCGACGTAGCTCAGACACTCACACATACTCGTCGCGTGCACTTCACTTGGACACACATTATGGAGAGCGAGAGGGAGGGAGGAAGAGAGAGAGAGAGCCCAAGTACGCCATGACGTGTGAAAACATTGTAGATGGTGACTGATAGCTGTTATACAAGTCAAGTCATCTTTTTTTACTTGGATTCCCCTCCACAGGAAGGACATGTTCGACTTCTCAGAAGCCCACCGATGGTGGAACGAAAACTGCGACAAAGTCCTGGATCTTTACTGCGTCCATCCTCCGTCTTCGCAGCCCGACCAAGAGGTAAACCCCCCCCCCCTCTCACGTTGATCACATTTGACTAAAATTCGAAGACACAAAGAGGGTAGAAACATCCATGATGATGATGATGATGATGATGATGATACAAACTAAGTAATCCCGCTAAAAATGTATTATGGGTCCTGTTCTTAGATTCAACCGTGATGTTTAAGAGGGAGGAACCATGCCCAAATATGTATGTTAAACTATGTTGTAAGAAAAAATGTGGTGCAACTTAACTTTGAAGATTTGGGATACGAGGGCAGAACAACTGTTAGGGAGGCATGTCTCAGCCGTGGAACGTGTTCATATATGGAATGGGCGGGACTGCTTTATTTTTTACTCCGACTGTTTTCACCGTTTCACATGGTTTTCCTCGGATTTCCTCCCTCTGCCCCGTCTGAAATCTTCTATATAGAGCCCGGGCAAATCCGCGAGGGAAGGCAGCTTCCCGTGGGCGGCGGGAAGCTACACGGAATACCTCTCCGCCGGCTCGTCGTCGTCCTCCTCCTCGACCTCCTCCGGCGCCGCCGGGGTGGGGCCGGAGATGCGGGTGGTGGTGCCCGGGCGGCTCGTGGAGTCGGTGGTGGAGGATCAGCCGGGTGTGTTCCTGATCGTCCGATGCTCGCCGGACGGCGGCAAGGAGCTGCGGCGAGTGCTGTTCAGGTGAGCCAAAGCTCGCGCCCCTTGGAGTATTCACCCAAGAGAGAATCCCTGCGAGTCTAACGTGAGGAATTTGCCCGCAGCTGCGAGAGGTTCGGCGAGGTGAAGGCGAGGGTCTGGTGGGAGGAGAACAAGATGAGACTGCACGGGGAGTACACTCTGAAACACCTGCGCCTACATTCAACGTTGATTTGCGATGGAGCTTAGCTTGGCGAGACATTAGACGGCCGGACGGGGAGGGATTTGGTGCAGCCGTGGAAGCCATCAGCACCGCCTACTGGAGTGGCACAGTTTCTAGTCTTAGTCTTTCGGTGAGACATTAAACCGAGTAGTTGGGGCGGCGAGATTTATGGGTTCTTCTATCTTGTTCATCTCGCACTGGAACGATGCGCTCTGACGACCTTCCTTCCGCCTCGAGGGCCCAAGCGGTCCCTGTGGCCGCTTTTAATCTCATAGATCAGCCGTAAACCAACGTCCGAAAGCCAAGAAAGACAACACCGGGTGGGACGGCGCGCACTTCCCTGTGTTCTTCCAGGATTTTCATCTCTCCGCGGGACAAATACCAAACAAACAAGCAAAACCGTTCCTAGTTAGTGCCAGTAATTGGCTCCCCGGCGGATCGCGTTGCACAAAATAGCATGGAAGGAGCGTATTCGTGCTTGATATGACTACATGCTAAGGGTTTCATAAAAATTATGTGTACATATAATATGAACAAATAGAGAGAGAGCATGCAAGCCATACAAACAAACACTGACTTTCTACCAAGAAATAATACCTAAAACACTGGTTTGATTTGGTCAGCTCTTCACTTCACCAACATATACACGAACAGGAGGAGTCGGATACAGATGGGCATCGGGCCATAAAAACCAGATGATACAATAAATACTTCTACTGTGAGTGTCTCCAGTCGGTACCTGAAGACCGAGCAAATTAGCTCATCGGAAACTGTTAGGAAATCTCATCCGTGGGGATACTGTGGTATGCGGAGTCATTGGGACACTTGCGGAATGTATTATATTGGCCATATATGGCATAGAAGATCACTGCTATAGCGGTAAGGATGACGAATCTCCACCATGCTTCTTCATGCAGCTGTTGACGGAAACCAAATATCATCATGACTACAGATTTTCTGATGCTGGGTTCTATAAAAAATGAACTGTGGTAGCTGTGATTTTCCTCAGGTCGACAGAAAATGGTTTCTCCAAGTTCCCCCCCCTCCCCAAAAGAGGCTTAGATTTTTCTAGAAATGATTTTTTTAAAAAAATAATAATAAAAAAGGCACAGCATAAGAAACATGTTTCTGTATTTTTACAGGAATAAAGTCAGGGTATGGGCATCAAAGATAGTTCTCCCTCCCACTCCAGTTATTTATTAGCCTACACATATTCCTTCGTTGCACAGCACATTAGATAAAACGGCACACTGAAGATCACCTTGAACGAGCTCAAAGGAGGGAGAAAGAACAGAAAAGAAAGGGAACCAACCAAGGTCCGTGATAAAAGATGCAGTAGGCCCGTGATATAGTTCTGGTTTCAATTCATCATCAGTGAAGAATGGGATCCGCTTGTCAGTAGAATGTTTCCAATAAATACTCCTACCACTGCTATCACCGACTAAAAGGGTATTCTTAAAATAATAATAATAATAATAATAATAATAATAATAATAATAAAACACTATCATCTCCGATTTTCTGGTCCTATTATACTTCCATCCAGGTTATTTAAAATCTGATGATTTTTTTGGCGCAGTACACATGGTAAGAGGGATGGTCTAAATTATCAACTTGACTTGAAAACCCATATCATCATCATGTTAACATTATAAGGGGGAAAATCGGAACATAGCCAAAAATCTACATAGGAGAAGTGTGGTTCGTAATGCTTATGTGTTCATCTTATGCGAACCAGAGGAGTCTTGAACTGGAAAAGATTTTCTCCCAACTGCGCATGTTCATGGTAAGTAGGCCAACCAAATCGCACGGGAACAGTTTCAGAACCGAACCTGAGCAAATAAGAAGATATTGAAGAAGATTGAGAGCGCTGGCACGGCTGGAACTCCGGGGCAAGAGAAGCCTGGGGGATTCGCATGAACCTAGAAAAAATATTGTTTGGAAAAGAAGATTAACGTTAGAGAGCACGACGACAGATTATGAGGAAAAATAATTAAGAGTGGACTATGATTATAAAAAAGCATGTCCAAGCATGGCCAATGTGAATGCTACCTAGAACAACACAAACAGAGATTTAAAAAGGGCTAGCATTTGACAAACACAACGTATGGTCTAAGCACCAATTATGATCAGATTGTCCCATAAGCAGGGGATCTTCTTATACGTATTTCATGCTATCATGCAGCAAACTCAAAGTCAAATGTATTCTAGTTCTAGACAACAAGCACCAAGAATTAAGTCGTATTGAAAGATCAATCCTCTGGATCAATGCCTCCAAACTTTCAAGATAATCAGTGTGCTTACTGAACACGTCCACATAATGATGATCTTCACCTTTCGGGGGAACAACCAAAAATTTTAGACGACTAGAGCAAGTTATATTCAAGTGAGGAATGGGAATTCGATGAAGGTCGAAAAACTTGTGAATATATGATTAGGTTTGTCGTATTTGATTCGGTTTTATCTTCTAATATCTAAAAGTGTGATTTTTCGTTAGAGTTTCATTAGCTTATTGATCTGCTCATTTCTATAATATTCAAAATATTTGATACTCTAGGAGCCATCATCACCTACTTTTTAGTCACCGGTCTGTTCCAGGAGAAAATGGAATCAGATGAATCAACTGGTTAAAGTACATACAAAAGGAGATTCCATAAATTGGGTACACAAAATTGTAGAAGTTCAGAAAAATTGTTGTTCAGGGTGCCTACGTCCTCTGAAAATTTTCTTTGGCATGGTCCGCGTCGATCCTGCATATCAGCTGTAGAGGTCAGGTTGGTGCCTGCCGTATTGCTACTCATCTGTATGCTTTTAATGGTAGCAGCGACCATGCAAGCAATTGGCTAATATTACCATTTATAGCTCAACCTTCTTTCCTTTTCTCACCATTTTCAAAGGGGGATCAGATTTTTCCCCCCTGAAGGTAGTTTGTCCAATTATTATCCACATGACTAGATGCAGATCAGAACTAGCTGAGCTTTTTTGAGTCACGATGGATTTATTATTCTTTATTTTGTGATAACCATATGTCACAGTCAAGGATGTACGAAGCACGTGTCTTCATGATTCAATGTTGGGACTAATTACCAGTTACCATATACAAACAAAACTATGTTTTCTATGAATTGGCTGGCATGTGCTCATTTTTGTTAATAGGGTTTTTGGTGAACATGACCAATTCGATTGTCAACCAAAAAACCTGGTCTAGAAACCGCTTCACACCATGTTAGAATGAATGTAAGGTATTTTCAATACAGAAGATCACCAAACCTACTGACAAATCCCTCGACCTGAGTTTTACTTTGCTGCTAACATATGATATCTGTAATGAGCTCGTCAGATGCTGATCAATGCACAGTATTATCTGTGCTGAGCTCTGGCTCTTCTGGTGCCACTGCCACAAGAAAATATAAGGGACATGACACGAGCAATCGATGGACACGAGCTTGAACGCTAGGTAACAACAACTGATGGCCTGATACAGGTACCGGGCAGGATTGGGCTTAGTTTTGGAAAAACAAGGGCAAAGACTGGACTTCATGCTTATAGCAAGCCAACAAGTGGAATGGTGCCAATGATCCAGAAACCCTTTACTCTTCTCTCTAACATTCGTACATCCGCACTCTCCTTCCTTCCCTGGTCTCACGGCAAAGGCTTCTTCTTCTTTATTTTTTATTTTGTCTTGGAGTGAGAGGGCGGAGTGGGGTGGCAGTCATAATGACTAGGGCTAGGGTTGTTACCCTTAAAGAAAATGAAGTTAAAATACTCAAGGTCAAGAGTTGCAAGGGACACACACGTGATAAGAATATTTTTCAAAAGAAAAAATTACACATAAATAGGATAAACAAACATTCACAGTCAACAAACTGTTCAAAATTTCTTTCACATCTTAAATGGAAAGTTGAAGATAGCAAGCGTCCAAATCAAATACAAGAGCAAATGATAAAAGCAACACCACAAATACTCCAACAGTTTACTTCAATTCAAAGGATCAGAGTTGCATAGGGAAGGTGATGTGAATAGAGAAACCCATGGTTCAGATACTAACCTGCCGAATATGGAGAAAAGCAACAGCAAGTATGGCAACTAACACAGCAGCAACGGGGAAAGGAAAAGAGGCTCCAAAACGGTAGCACAGTCCAGTTATAAATCCGGAACAGGCAATAGTAATAAGGCAAATGATCCCTTCCTGCCGAGCTGAAATGCCTCTTATAGCAGGTTGAGCTTGGGGCTTACCCTTCCAACGGAGGGCAATGACACAGCCAGAAACAACAGAATAGCCCGTCTAGAAATGGAAAAAATGCCACAACAGGTCAAAACGGGCAAAGCATAAAGAAGGTGACGAATTACCAAAGATTGGTAGCACAAGACAACATCAATCTGAGGATAACTCACCAGTGAACCTACTGAAAGAATGTGAGAGAGCACATGTACATTAAAAAAACTAGCCATGACGCCTGCAACAGCACCGACCCAGAGCTGAGCCTTGATAGGAGTGTGATGCGAAGGATGTACTTCCGCAAAAACCGAAGGCAACAGACCATCCCTTCCAAGACCAAGATACAACCGGGACTGTCATTAAAAACTTAAAGTTAGATTCAAGCTGGAAAACTATGAAGAGTGACTAATACTTTCAATAAACTAGGTCACCTGAACAAAAAGCCCAACAAGAAGGGTAGTGGTGAGACCAGCGATAGCACCAATACTGATTAAAACTGAAACGAATTTCAGCCCTTTTGAGGTAAAAGCTTCTGCCAATGGTGCATCTTCACTAAGCAGATTGTATGGCACCATTCCCGTAACCACTAAGCAGACTCCAACATACAGCAGCGCACAGACGATAAGGCTAGCAAGGATGCCAATGGGCAAGTCCCTCTTCAAAAAAGATATTTTCCCAATAATATTGGCATGATTGAGAAATATTAGATGCACATTAAAAAAGTAAAGTTACAAGGAAAACACTCGCCAATAAGCTTATGACAAACATTCAGAACCATTCAAAACAGATTCTGAAAAGGAAACAAATGATAAGCAACCTATTGAATCACCTGTGGTCTCTTTGACTCTTCAGCGGAATTAGCCACTGCATCAAATCCAACATAGGCAAAAAACACTACAGTAGCTCCAGTGACGACCGCTTTGACGCCATTTGGGGCAAAGGGTGACCAATTCGATACATCCACCTCAAAAGCACCGAAAAAGATGACAATAATGACAATGACCACCTGTAGGGCGGTGGTTGAAATTACTTCAGAAAGCGATTGGAAACGGAACTCTACGTTATATAAAAGAAAATAAACAGATTCAATCTCAGAACAAAATCCAATGACCAACAGAATTAGACATTATCAAAATCCAAGAAATAAATTAGACATGAATAATATGGAAATAGCAAGGAAACAGTCTTGTTCCACTATCACATTCAATGTGCACAGAACACTATTACTGTTCACATTTCATTTCTGAAGTTTCAAAAGAAACCATACTGCAGATGTTGATGGATTGCCCCTGAAATCCCCCTAGTTCAGAAATAGCAAGCACATCCAAACCCATAAAAAAAAAAAAAAATCCGTGGAAAGACCTAGGTGACTGCTTCTACCCACCAAAATGTCCCAGCACTACAGACTGGGAAACAGTCCTGTCATAAGACATTTTTAAATCGTAGAGCAACTAGATAAATCACAGTGTACGATCAGTCTTCCATAAGCGTCACAACCTAGTCATCAGAAGAAAAGTTTTAGAAAATTTCTCGATGAAACTCCTTTTACCAAAACTAACAGCCCATACAACTGCTGGGGGCAGCATGATCCACTCATCTTTTTCGTACTTCAGGTTACTTAACCAATCCACCATACCGTTATGATACGAATATTTTTCAGTTCCTATAATTAAATATGAACCTCCCCAGAAAGTGAATTTCACAGCACTTCTTGGGGACTTTACAGAATAAATGTATTCTTTTTTTGCTTGATTAAGTCAGGGTTAAACTTTCCCCACAAAAGTTTTACAGAAAGTCTTCCATTTGCTTTACATTTCGAGTTTCTTCAAGCTTTCTCCCCACTCACCATATAGATATACGGTGGTAGAATCTACAGTGATTCTTCAAGTAATAAAATCTGTAGTACATCTAAGATGGAAAACAACCCTGCCCCACATAATAATTTCTAATCTGATTGTTGGTTTTGCATTTTGACAGCCATTAAATTACACAATCTTCAGAACCCTACAACCAATGTATCAATCACCTTCAGGGAACCTGATACGTTTGCAATGGTCACTCATCATACAATCAGTGATGGAGCTAAAGAATAAATATATTATATATAATTAAAGAACAGGGGACCCTGAAATATTAAATACTTGATATTAAGTGAACTCTTCAGAAAAAGAGCAATTCACAGGTTATAATCTACATGATAATACTTTTAATGGATATTAATCAATCTGACCATCGGATCCCTTACAGAAAAATGATCTGAGACCGAGGACTCTAACTCCCTAAATTGCAAATCACAAAACCCACTCATTTGTTTTTCCATTTATTATGAAAATGAAGTATTAGTGACAAAATTGCATTCCTACTAAGGTAAGAAACCTAAAGTCAAAATTTTCATTGGGGTTCTGGCTTAAAGTTCAAGCTTCTGAGCATCACAAGCTGTCAGCAGATGCTGAATGAAAATTTCAAATGTTAAAAGTAGAATCAACAAATGAGATAAAGTGTTTGTTGAAATTTTTAGTAGGTACGGCAGATAATACAACCATTACACGGAACCAACTATGGATGTTAAAAATGAACACGTTTTTTTTTTCTCTTCATTGGAATATGGAGTAATATTTAGAAAGATCTCACACAAATCGAAAGCAGCAAAGATTTTAAAAAAATGCAATCATATTGTGATTAATGATCTAGCCATCTCACACAGAAAATGCTTCATGTGCATTAGATCAACTTTAAATGTGATACATTTCATTCATCTCTTCTAAGTAAGTTTCATTAAATGTTAATTCAATAAATAGTACAGATAAAATTGCATCATATCCATGCTTTCAGTGTAATTGTACTAATAGAGCTATGCACTTCAATATTCAAGAGATTCTTGAGGATCTATCAGATTTTAAAGAGAAAGCCTTTTAACAACAAAGGATGCTAGAAAACTTCTCAACAAATACCAGGTTGAGAGCATCCAATCACGTAACAGTGTCAAGGTAGATCCAATGACAAGAATGATAAAAACTGAGGCAATGGAATTTTTCTTTTTCTTCTTTCAGGTTTGAGATTGAGATAAAAATCTGACAGAAAATTGACCAATGCGCAGTGTGAACATCTTAAATTCAGAACATACCTTCTATGGAATATTACTGCTATCCATCAATTAAAAAAGGGTTAAGAAATGACTGAGATTCTGAGGAACACAAGACAGAAAAATGACGGAAGTTTAAGATTTGTTTTTTGTTCCTTAAAAAAGGAGATATGATCATTGGTCATCTCTAGTTTCGGAGGTTTAAAGACCTAATCTCCATGGGAATTGGACGAGCCAGGTACCCCAATTTAAATCAAGGTAGGTTCGACATACCACCAAAAACAAAACTCGAACAGTGTTAACCTGCGTATCGCGAGTTGCTGAAATATGATCCAGGTTGGCTTCAATCATATTGATCCAGTTGGGTATTATTTATGAAAGAAATTAATTACATGATGTCTGTCATTAATACATGGTCAAAAGAACGTGGTTTTTTTAAAACTGTAAATTTTATTTTCTATATAGACACTATATACGAAAAATTAATAGGATGAATAACAGCATAATACTAGAAGATTATGGCTGTTAGACTATGATATTTTCTCAGGTACACGATATACATGGTAGATGATCCTCACTGATTCTTAGTTACTTTGGATACTCGCTCCCTGACCATTTGAGGTCATGTCAGCTTTATACCTTAGTCCTAGCTTCTTCTTTTTTTTCATTTTAGTTTCTTTGAGTTTTGTTGGACATTTTCTTCCTTTTGGGAATTGCATCATATATTATGAGTTAATCATCCAGGTTACAAATGAAAATTATTCAAAGGAAAGAAGCACATAAGGCAAAGAGAGATTACTTTGGTGGTTGTCATGAGTGAGTTCACCATAGAGGACTCGCCAACACCACGGCAAAGAATTGCTGTTAAGATTAGAAGAAGAATCGGGGCAAGTAAATTGATAGATACTACTCCCCCGAAGAGCTCTTTGCCTCCTTTTCCCATCCAGCTAGGAAAATGTCCCCTGAATAGAGGAAATAGCTCCAGAGTGGCGACCACATAACTCGCTAAGCTCCGTGCTATGCTCGCTGCTCCAATATGGTAGTCTACCATAACTTGTGTGAAGACGAGAAAAGCTGTTAGCTCATTGAATGCAGCATAAGTGTACAGGTATGCTCCACCAACTACAGCAGGGAAATACGAAGATAGCTCCGCATAGCACAAGGCATTAAGCGCGCTGGCAACTCCGGCTAAAATGAAACTGACCGTGACGGCTGCATTTGAACCAGCAACCAGTGAGTAACAAGCAAGGGTTGGCCCAAATATCGACAAAGAACAAGGGAACATGCCAGGAATGGTAAATCTATGCATGTTGCGATGACATGAAATCTAAAAAGATTCGATATTAAAATCTAAAGCGGTGCAACATAAAAGTCTGACAGGATTCAACCTCCCACAGCGAGAAACATGGACAATGAGAAAGACCTTTACCATTCATATCCTTGCTAAAGTCTAGGCAGATAGAGTTCACAGCAGTTCATGTCATCGGAGCCTAGTAATGTCGTGTGAACGTAGAATACTCATTCGCATCACTGTATGAAATGAAAAGCATCTCCTTTCTGATCACTACAAAATTTGTCAAATGATGATGCCATGATAGACCACACTCTGTAAACGGCAAAAAAACTCTAGAGTGTCCAAGTTTTGGTAAATAGAAAGCTCCTATGGAAGGAATTCAAAGAATGTGGTTGAGAAACAAAAATGAGGAGAAAAGAGCATGAAGTACAGTTGCAAATTTCCTGCGAAGGAAAATTCTGATGAATTATGTTGGATGCCTGAATTTTGGAGCAAACTCTATTTCTACAGAAGATCAAATCTAGCAATAAATAAATAGGATAGTTCGATGAAGGTTATTCACTCGGCTGGAGGAGACGCTACCGGGGCCGGCGTCGCGGGCGACAGTGCCAGTGACGACAAAGATCCCGGACCCAACGGAGGCGCCAATCCCAATGAGGATGAGCTGCACCAAGCCAAGACGGCGGACGAGAAGACGGCCATCGGTTGGTTCGCCAGTAGCCGGGGACGGAATCTTCCTCCGGAGAGCGGATGACCGGAAACTGGAGAAGAAGGAAGCGATTGCGCCGGGCGGCGGAGCGGAAGAGCTGGCGTCGTGCCCCCGTCCTACGCCCATCTGATCTCTTATTCTTCTCCTTCCTCTCTCCTCGCGAACTAGGACGACGAAGATCGCAGGTAAGAAGGAAACCCCAGAAAGCGGGCTCGGCCCGGAGAAAAGCCCAGAAAGCGGCGGCGATGCCGGGCCCGCCTTTTCTCTCCCATTTTGGGGGCTCTCTTCTTCTTCCTCTTCATTTTCCCGCTCGCTCGCTCGCAAAAGGGAAGCCTTTCCCTCGCTCCGGAGGCGCAGCAATGGGCCCGACTGAGGACGCCCACGTGAAGCTCCTCGCCCGGGAGCTCCTGGGCCTCGCCGGCAGGTCGGCCTCCTTCTGCATGGCGGGCGGCCGCGCCGTCTCGAGGGCGGAGGCCGTGGGCGTGGTGGTCGCCTGGGAGCGGCGAGAAAAGCTCATCCGCTTCCTCCTCGACGACGGCACCGGGTGCATCCCCTGCGTCCTCTGGTTGAACCACCGCCTCCTCGCGGGGCGGCCGCCGGGGGGCGACGGCCGCTCCCCGGCAATCCCTCGCCACCTGGCGGGGCGGCCCCCGTCGGAGGTCGAGATGCTGGCCCGCGCCGCCGAGGGCCACGCGTCGAGGGCTCAGATGGGGGCCCTCGTGCGCGTGCGGGGCCGGCTCACGGCGTTCCGCGGGACGCTGCAGCTGACGGTGGGCGGCGTGGTGGCGGAGAGGGACCCCAACGCCGAGGCGTTGCACTGGCTGCAGTGCCTCCGCCTGGCTCGCCGCTGCCACGGCCGGCCGACGCCGCCCTACCCCATCAACCGCTCCGCCACCGGGAACAAGAGGAAGACGCCCTCCGAAGACGGCTGAAGGCGGACCCCTTCATCACTCCAAGTAGTTACTATTACTTTTTTTCTCTTTTGTCAATCTTGAGCCTTGGACAATCAGCATTCAAATGTCTCAATTTTTTGCAGTCAAAATAGATTGGTTTATTATTGCATTTATCAATAATGTCTTCATAATTTTTTTTGTAAATTATAATATGATTAATTCAATCCTTCCCTTCTTGATTTCTATGCAATCTAAAATCCAACATATTTTACATCATGAAAACCTTATTGAATAGCTAAGGTTCCTCCACCCAATAGTTAATACCTTTGGTTTCTAAGATTATTTACTAAAGAACATTTATTGAAATTCATAATGCTGGTTCCTATATGGCTGGATAATTCAGGAGAAGGGATGAATTTATTTTAAATTTAATATATATATATATAAATAGAAAAATCAACAAAAGATAATTCACACTAGATCTTATAATGATTCGGATAAACTCCTTTGACCTACATCTATTTTTGAGGACTTCACCTTAATTTCACTATTTCACCCCCAAAATACTCTTGAATCTTATGGGGATCAAGGACCCCTTACATTCCCAAGCTTTGAGAGCTTACAATTATTCAACCTAGAACTCTATCTCTATAATTTCTAAGTCTTTAGGTCTCTTTGTTTTAGGCACATCATAGATGCCTCAATGAACAATATGATTATCTTGACTGCACACATAGGTGTTTCAACCAATCTACACATCACATACTAAAATAGAAACAAAGAGCAATATGAAATGATTTTTCTACAGCCCTCAAATCTTCTTTTTTGTTCACTAAGAATTGTTGAAGGTACTTAAAAAATGTTGGGCTAAAGTAGTAAGGTCTTGAGGGTTAGAGAGATCTCCACATCTTCTTTAAAGTAAACAACCTTGTCCTTAATTTTTTTGAGAGGTGAAAGTGTTGATGAGGAGAAGAAATCATTGTTGAATCAACAACCATCACTTAAAAATTGTGATTTTCTCTCTTGCCCTAATTTCAGATGAAATGCCTTACTTATAGGTGGGCTAGGCCACCCCCTTTGGTCCTTATCAGGTCAAACAGTTGACTTAAAATGGGCCTTGATGGAACACATGCAGATCCTAGAAAAATAGAAAAAGTAATTATAAAGAATGAAAATTTTCATAACTCCCTTCATACTTTGGAGTTTTAGGAAGGTTTTCAGTTTTAAATTCCTCTTTGAATCAGATTGTCATTAAGTAGTCTCACACTTATATTTATCATATACTTTAGCATAAAAAGTCATACTAATGAACCATTATGCCCCTACATGAATATACAAAACCAATAATATTGTAAAATCAATATTAAATCAACATCTTAATCATTTTCTCTGAGATTTATTTTACTTGACTCCTCGATCAAAGACCTTCATATTGGTCCTATATTATTGAAGTCATCTGACAAAAAAATTCACACATTAAGACTTGCATATGAGATGATATCATCTTTACCACTTACTGAATTTTTATTATTATTATATCCACAGTCTAACATTCATATTATAATGAGAAATTAAATTGAATAGGATATTTTCCATGATCCACACCTTACATCTATCAATATTTTAGGTAACTTATGATACATATATTAATTTCATGATTTTATATAAATATAAAAAAATCATCAAAATCATCATAAGCTAATCATGAACTAAACACATAAGACTAAAAAATTCTTTACATTGGAGATTTCAAAGGTCTAGCTCTCCTGTATTAGACATAAAATTATTAACTTGTCTTTCCCCTATTACTTCTACTTCCACAGAGTGCCTTTAAAAATAAAATAGAAAATATTTGACTTATGAATGATCCTCATGTGGAAGAAGTGTTTCTGTGATCATGTGTTTAGAGGTTTATGAAAGCTTTAATGAAGTAACACTAATTACTCCTTGAGAAAGATAAATGCTCATACCACAAATCGAGTAAGTTATGGTAGCTTGAATATGTTATTTGAAAGCCCATTAACTCAACCATTAGAAATGAAAATAATATCCAGTTAACCTAATATTTGTTAAGTGAACTTTGAGTCAATATACAATAAAATGTATTAACTATCAATCTACGTTCTCTCAAACTTTTAAATATTTAATGTTCTAATACTTTGATTAGCTATTTTTTTTATTTTTTACAATTTTTTTCTAACATTATTAGGTGCCTTTGCTATAGGATATGTTGACATTTTTTTGTAATTGTTGGATTACATGTTATATCTTCAAAAAAACGTTTCCTTGTCTTTCATGAGTTCAACTTGCTAATTCTTGTGCTTTTTTATTCCAAAAACCAACTTGGGTGGACTAATGGGTTGACTCATAAGTCTTTTTTCAAAGATGTTCTATCTAAAATGCATTATTTTGTGCTTAATTCATGTCTTCATTTAGACCTCTCCCTAGGTGATTTTTTTATCAATTTATATATGAAAAATATTACCAAACAACAAATGCCCATGATCTAATAATTTAGACCTTTGTCTAACTATCAGAGTAAAAGAATATATTTATTATCAGTTTTTATTTTGACTACTATTCTTTAAATTTAAAAATACTAAAAGAAACACAAAATTCATAATATTATCAAATTATATTTGGAATCATGAATTATAAATTCAAGCACATGTTCAAAAACTTAAATAGTAGTTGAATATCATCTACATTAATTTTTTTAATTTAAAGCTATAATATTGGAGAGGTAAAAATCTAGAAAATGTTTTCTTCTTGTATTCTTGAAATTTTGATAAATGAGATAGGAGATTGAATAACCATTTCGATTATTATTAGATGGGATACCATACCTATTGATGATGATGCATTCATATTTTCCCTATTGATTTTTTAATTGAATAATTGGACATTCACATAAATGATTCTAGTATATACACCCACTACTTGACAAGAAAGATCTAGGAAAGATGATATATATTATCCAATGTTAGCTCTTAATGACATACCACATGCAAAGCTTTAAATGATTTGTGAGAAGATGGCATTAAAGAGAAATAGGAAAGACATAACAATTTGAGTGTGGTGGTAGTAGAGCATATTGTATGAAAATGGGTTCGATAAGATTCAGATGTACATGAAACCCCACCTTATGACCAATGGGCAGGTTTCGAGGTTGAATGAACAAATTCAAAGCAATGTGGTCATTTTATAGATATTTCATGCTAGCGCCTCTCTCTCTCCCCTCTTTCATATATGGATAAATAACATTGGGTCTAGCTTACAAGATAAGAAATGTATAGTTTAGATGCTAATGTTGTAATCTTCTCCTTGGTTTTAAATACAAAGAAAAGTTTAGGACTTGAGCAAGACTAGACAAAGTTGGGGCTTGACCTTGGGCCCAATAACCATCCCAATTTTAACCCTAACAGAACCAAAGGCTTAAAAACAAGCATATGGTAATAGTGCATGGAGTGGACCCTACTCATCATGAATTATATTTTTCATCTCTTTTCACCTTTACTGATGATAAAGGGGATGAGCCTAAGAGCAAAACGTCCATGATACATGTGACTGATTTAGATTAAAATGCATTCTATAGGTTTCTAATGGACAATGAGTTTGGGGTTTTCGAAGAGACAGACTTATGAAGGTTATTTGGGAAAAGCAGATAAATGTTAGGGAATGGAAGGTCAAAGCACCGTCAGGTATCCCTCATAATTACCCATATTGGAGTCTTACCCCTCTCTCTCTCTCTCTCTCTCTCTCTCTCTCTCTCTCTCTCTCTCTCTCTCTACAGTGGGTAGACAATTCTAGGTACGTCTAGGCTTCTCAGAAAGTTAGGGGATAAAAGTCTTCTCAGAAAAGTAAGAAGACCGACTCCCCAACTCCCTGAGCCAAGTTCCCTGACTCCGATCGATGGGGACAAAAACCACCATCCCGGATGGAGGAGCGTACACACCTCCCCGTCATCTCGGACGCTGGAAGAGACGAGGATTCCTCACTGGAACGGTGACCGGAACGCCTCCATTGGAGCAACTGGGTTGGCTCCTAGATCTGTCTGCCCTAGCGAAGCCTAGGATTGCCTTGAATTGTGAGCCCCCTTTTATTACTGTTATTATGTATGCCACTTGGGCATCATTTATCCGATTTTTTCCAAAAATCCCACCAAAGAAACTGGTCTTATTATACTGAACCAGCTCGCCCATTAGGATGAGTCAACGACCTGAACGGTTGACCCGCTTTTTTCCTTCCCGAGTTCTCGGTCAGAAGTCTAGATCATGAGTCAACGCGTATGGAACGTTTTATTCCTTATATAATCGATAGTTAGGTCTACTATCCTCCGACTTCGGAGAGAAAAACCATGCACAATAAAAATGAGGTAAAAACATTCTTTTGACATGGATGGAGGTCTCATGGCCGTTGAAGGGGTGGGGGGCCTGCAGCTTGTCACGGCCGTACTCGTCCTATACGCGGGACCCCACCGGGAATGCCAGCCCGCCCCAACACCGCCACCTCACTCTTTAATTAGCCTTCTCGTCCCACTTGGCGCCAGCCCTCCCGGTTCCCCACTGCCTACAGCACGCTACCCACTGTACCTTATCGCACCGGAAGGTGACCAGACCTGGCCCGACAGCCAAAGATGGAGGAGAGAGGGAGAGAGAGAGGAAAACGCGTGAAAAGGAGGAGCTTTACCCGGAGCGACATGGAAGCTTGGCCCTCAAATATCCATGCCGGAGGGTTAAAAAGGAAAACCTTGTAAGGTGGGCCACGCGCACAAGGGTGACCGTCCGCCCCACCCACTCTCCCTCTCGTCCCTCCGTCTCTCTGCAGCTCTCTCTTCCTCTCCCCGATCTTCGTTTGGATTCGTTCGGGATGGACAAGTGCTTCTGCATGGCCAGAACCATCGACGCCGATATCATTCAAGGGTAGGACTTGTCGTTTGGGCAGCTTTCTGCGTCCGGCTGCTCCCTCTCTCTCTCTCTCTCGGCCAGAGATCCAGGGAGAATAGAACAACCGAGGGAGGGAGGGAAGAAAGAAGAGCCGCAAAAAGGGAAGAGGGCAAGATTCGACCTCCTCCTTGCCCTCCAGGGCCCGAGGGAGTGTAAGGGGTGGGGAGCCGAAGCGTAGGCGATGCCGGACGGCTGCTTGGATGGCGGCGTCTCGGCAGCCGTTACTTCGGATTCCACCGGCGCAGAGAACATCGCCCGCGCGTCGTCGTGTTCCAAGGCTTCCGGCGGAGGGGCGGCGGCGGGGTCGATGAAGAAGGGGCCATGGACGGCCGCAGAGGACGCCATTCTGACAGACTACGTCCGGCGGCACGGGGAGGGGAACTGGAATGCGGTGCAGCGGAATAGCGGCCTGTCGAGGTGCGGCAAGAGCTGCCGGCTCCGGTGGGCCAACCACCTCCGCCCGAACCTCCGGAAGGGCCCCTTCTCTCCCGAAGAGGAGCGTCTCATCCTCGAGCTCCACGCGAAGCTGGGCAACAAGTGGGCTCGCATGGCTGCGCAAGTAGGCCGCCGAACCTCTCTACTTCTCCAATTCTCATCCTCAGCGGATTCACAACTCCATTTTTTTCAGTCTCACTTCGATCTCTCTCCTCAGCTTTCGCCTGATCCGTGTGTGACGATTCCGTTGGATTGTTGCAGCTGCCGGGCCGAACGGACAACGAGATAAAGAACTACTGGAACACGAGGATCAAGCGGCGGCAGCGCGCCGGGCTCCCCCTCTACCCGTTCGACATCCAGCGGCAGGCCGCACTGCACCACCACCACCGCCCTTCCCCCGGCGCTGCCCCGCTCTCGCTCTTCGACCATACTGAGTTTGGGGTGGCGCCGACGGTTGGAACATCGAGTCACATGGTCAATACCGGTCACTGCCTGTCCTTCATCGTGCCCTCGCCGGCAGGAGAAACGGGTCTCCAACAGAGAGGCGGGGCCTTTCCGGACGGTGGGGTGGGAGGCTTCTCTATGGCATTCAGCTCCAACACAGTCACGCCCCCGCACTCGCAGAATGCTGTGTTCCTTTTGGATGCCCTGGGGGCCTACGATCTCGGCTCTCCCTCTCCGCAGCACCACCGGCAGAGCTTCTCTGTGAAAATGGAGCTCCCTTCAAGCCAGTTCTTTCCTGAGGCACCCACCTTACGAAGCGAAAGCGACCTGCTGGATTCTCTGCTACTCGACGGAGAGGCGGTGGTGGCTGGCGGCGGTAGCGCCGACGAATGTGGAAACGCTGGAGGTGATTACCGCAGGGGACGAAACTTCCTGCCGGAGCCCACCGCAGAAAACGTTAGCTACGTCAACGGAAACGCCGGCGGCGGCAACTGCAGTGAACACCCACAGGGACTGATCCTGAGCGACTGCGGCGGTAAATGGGACTACTCGAAACTCCCCTTGAGTGAGTTCCATCTGCCCTGGTCTCTTCTTGTTATCTCTCGCGTCCTGGCTTCCCTTTTCCAAGAACTTGCCGAGGATTCCACTTCTCGTCAACCGTGCAGAAACCAGGGTCGGAGGCAGGCATTAATGAGCGCCTTATATCGTTTGCTAATCCTTTTCTCCAGACGCTGCGAGGAAGAGAGAAGCGGGAGAGGACGATGGCACGGTTGACGACGACCTGTCGGCGCTGCTGGATCTCATCCCCATAGCGGCGGTGAGGGAATGGTACGACGGCGACGGCGGTGAGGAGATGTCCAACGGACAATCGTCAGGGGTGACGGACGACAACGCGGGACCCGAGATACAGCCGCAGCAAGCGTCGTCAGCGGGAGCTGGAGCGGACCATGGCTGGAGCGTTGGGTCTCGCCACTGGACAGGCTTGCCGGGGACCTGCTGAACGCAGGCAGCATTTTCCTCCGGCGGATTCTGCTGCAGCCTGCCACCGTTGGCGTCTCTTCCCGGCAGCCTCCGGCGAGGTCCCTCTTCGAAGTCCATCGCTTGCTTGAATGTACGAACGGATCATGCGTAAATAAACGATCTCAAGTCTCGATAAATCTTGGCCATGCCGAGGGTGATTCTGCGGCAGCCACTGATGTTACCGCTGATAATTATTCATGGGAACGTGAGATAATCAGTGCAGATGGTAATCGTGATTGATTTAACATTCTTTCTAATTTCAATAAAAAATTAATAGAAAGTTTTTTACGAAAATGTTCAACATCTTCGGAGATAGTATAATTTTGATCAAATTATTATTTTTCATTATTTTAATAATCTCATTTCTTCACCAAACTAAAGTAATTCCTATAAGGTGATAATCAAGACTTCTCTCTCTGACCGTTGAACTAGATCATAGAGGCGTTCATACTATAAGGCTACTCTATGGTCTTCAGCCATACTTCTTTTGGTGTGAAAACTATCGTTCATAAAAAATAAAAGTTCAAATATGATGTGTATCCATTTTTATATACTTTCCTTTATATAATAAATATCAAAGAAGTAGTAATAATAAAATAAATAAATAAAGTATAAACTTAAGTATAAAAATGTAAAATATGCAGCATAAAGCTTTTTTTTTTTACTCAACATAAACCAAAAGAAGTTTTAATTATTTCGTCAATTCCACCTCCAATATACATATGCATCCTCGAAGAAAGTGAAGATCATGTGGTTAGTCATCAAATTTTAGGAGAAATATAAATTGAGTCATGAAGAAAATGTATGAAGAGAAATATAAATCATGTAAAGAAAAAGTGACAACATCAATTAGTTTTACTTGGTCTATTATGCATTTATAATGTTATATCACTACTTACAAATGGCTACACTATGGAATTAATTGAATTTGTATCCTTCATATCATCACTTACTTAGGATTTTCTAAATATCAGAAAATATTCTTTATAAAATGATTTAAAATATTTATATCACCAAAGCTATCATTTTACATATTGAGGCTATAAGAAAATAAATTTATTATATAATCATAATTTTTTGATGTAATTTAAAATAATTTTATATTTTCAAATTATTAATTTAATTCAATATGTTTTATTGATTTTTTTTTTATGATAATAGATCCTTATTAGACTCACCTGATCTAATAAGTTTCAGAAATATATATTGGTCCTCAATGGTAACACATTGATTTATCAAAAGGATATCAATACCTTTAAAGAATATGTCATATTGATTTTCAATCATTGAAATTTAAACTTTTAAATATGGTAAAAAAACGACAATTGTGTGGTGAATGATTGGTCTAGTGGAATTCAAGAATGAGATTGTTGTTATAGAATGAATGTAGGCACAAGGTTAAACAACATTAATAACTTTAGAGCACTTTAGGTTTTTGAACTCAAAAAGCCTTAGGGTTAGGATTGAAAAAAGTAGATTAAATATGATAAAAATAGTTGACTCAAATGCATACCATTAGGATCCAATCAATTTAACCCTTATCTTGATAGAAGTACAACTTAAAATATAATAGGAACGAGAATTACATCAATTGTCGTAAGAGGTACTTCACTTGTTAGGCTTGTAATAACCTTTATAAAGGTTATACTCAATTTTTTATCTATTGCTATACGTAGTTATCAACTATAATATCATACCACTCTGGTCTTGACAAAATTAGCTCTCTATTGAATGGTCATTGATGATATCATGATAGTCCACCTCTAACAAGGCTAGGTCATCTTTTGTAGATTGTTCAAAGGTATTGACCTTTTAAGCATTAGCTGACCAAGTAACCTATTCAAAGGTGCTCTCTCCTCTAGTAACTTTACAGCTCAAACTCATCAAGTCAAGGTGTTGTCAAACATGTGTTAATACAAATAATAATCAAGGTTGATACACCAAAAGAACGTGTGTGATACAAAAATTCAACCCATTAATTTTTTTTATAGCATACTTTCACAATAAAAAAGACTCCAAGTGTGGCTCTAGTTGATGTGGTTTCTCATATGCCAAGTCTGTTGACTTTCTAGCAAAAATGCATGTTCATCTCGTAAAAATGATATTATTTTGAATTAATTAACTATTAATACAGAGAATATAAACAATAGGTTTTGAAAAGTTGATGTAAATCAACACAAATGGTGTAATCTAACAATGGAAATTTCTAAATTTGAATATTCTTATTACGTTGATGACTAATATTTGACATAATCCATTGAGGATGATAATGATGATTACTTTTTCACAAAAGCTTTGTAGTCCAATGTTGACTTGCCATTTTGAATAGGGACAGTCAAATGAAGAAGTTTTTTCCAGTCTTCTTAGTCGTTTAAAATTCATGTTCATTGTGATAACTTCCTATGCTTATGATAGATAGAACCCCAAGCCCGCTGATCGGGTTTACGGAACCCACAACCCGCCAAAAGTTAAAATCGTTGGGAAGACTCAGGGCAAATCTGTAATTACAGAATAGGCTGGACGCGGGAGCGGGAGTGAGAGAGTTGCAGAAATCGTAGAGGTATAAAGACTGAAAAGGCGCAGTTGGAGGCGTCTCGTCTCCTCGCTCAAGACTTTTCAGGGCTCTTTCTTCTGCTCCTTCCCGGCGCCTCCCGATTTACGCTGCGGATAGTTCCCATAATGAAGCGCCCCGTCGTTCGCAGAAACCCTAGGCGAGGTCTTCTTCGGTCACCTTGGTCCCGTTCTCGTCGCCGCAGATGATGACTTTGTGATTCCTTCCCTTGCGATTCCTCTACTTTCTTTGTAGTGATCGAGAACGGGGTTTCGTGGTTTCTCGTAGGGAAGAAGCAGAGGAGAGCTGCCGAGGAGCGCTCTGAATCCGACTCGGAGGTGAAGTCGTCGTCAGATGATGACTATGCGCTCCCTCCCAGTGGTGGCGAGCCTGCCTCCGGCAGCAGCGATGACGAAGAGTGGGCGACGGAAGAATGCAGTGGGAGGAGGGAGAAGAAGAGGAAGGGAAGAGTCCGGGGAGGGCGCAACGACGCCAGGCCCTCCTCGATTCCGCCGGCCTCTTATGACGATGGCGACGACGATGATGATCGGGTTCCTGTTGTTGAGGATGGTGATGGGAATCGGGGCGGAGGACTGCCGGCGCGTTTAGTGGCGGAGCTACCAAAGGTCACAGCGTCGAGGAAGAGGGCATCTAAGAAGTCAAAGAGGAAATCGAAGGGCAACGCGTTGATCTGGGAGGTTCTTGAACGAGAGAACGAGATATGGATTGACGAGCGTGAGAGGATGGCGAGTTCGGGGAACCCACCTGATGAGACTGAGGTGGCCATACGGGTTGCTGACCCCTCGCCGGATGTCACGCTTCCCCTTCTCAAGTTCCAGAAAGAATGGGTAGCCTGGGCTTTGATGCAGGAGGCGTCCAGTTCTCGGGGAGGCATACTCGCTGATGAGATGGGAATGGGGAAAACAATCCAGGCGATCTCTCTTGTTCTCACAGCACGCTCTCTCCATATGACATCTAGTGAGCCCCACCAGTCCGATATTCACGGATCGTCCTCTGCCTCGTCATCGGCTCCCCTGCTTCCTGTGGCCAAATCCACACTTGTCATTTGCCCTTTGGTCGCAGTTATCCAGTGGGTGGGTGAGATTGAGAGGTACACTAAAGAAGGCAGCGTCAGGGTTCTAGTGTACCATGGAGCCAAGAGGTTAGGCATGAATTATAATTTCAATGATTACGATTTCGTGCTGACCACATACTCGACCATCGAGGGAGATTTCAGGAGGAATGTAATGCCACCCAAGGAGAAGTGTCAGTGGTGTGGAAGGTTGCTGTATCCTAGCAAGATGAAGGTCCACCTAAAATATTTTTGTGGGCCGAGTGCTCAGAAAACAGAGAAGCAGTCAAAACAGACGAAGAAGGGAGCAGAAACCTCTAGTTTGAAAAAGAGACAGAGAGATCTTCACAATATTAGGAAGGATGATGTGTCTGGTTTAAAAGCAACCTCATCCATAATGAATTCAGTTTTGCACTCTGTTCGATGGGATCGCATTATCCTGGACGAGGCAAGTACAATATAAAACATCTGACTAGATTCTGAAATCTTCTATCTAGCTTGAAAACTTTGTAGATATGCTAATTGCTATCACACTTGTGAAAGGTTACTAAGCATGATGTCTAATGGCTTCTACACTAGTGATCATTCATGGTGAGAATTGCCGTTGATTTTCATTTGTTTAGATATTACGATTGGTAACTCACAGGACTTATTTATTAATTCTCCCGTGTTATTCTGTAGTTTTTTAGCTGCATTTGCTGCGTTGTTGAACCTTGTCTTCTCTGGACCAAGTTAATATTTTGGGATTCACCAATGAAGATACAGAATGTTTTGGTTGTTGCCATGTTGTGTTATTGGCGGACAGCATTTTGGGGTTTCTCAAGATTGGATACATGTAGCTTTTTTTTCAAGTGGTCTCATTGTTTCGACTGAATTGACAATAGTGCACTTAGTTTCGTAGGGTTGCAATATAAAACGTATCCATTCCTTTGATCAAGGACGGTTATATTGTTTCTTGAAAATTCAATTTAGAGTAGAGCACTGAGGTCAGTAGAATCAAAGTTGCTTGAATGTTTTTAATCCAGTAGGGATCCATCGCTCCACCCTGCCTTCCCTTCTAACGCGAACAACGAAAATTATGGATTTTTTGCATTTAATCCATGATCTTTCAGAGGCACGTTTTCTTTTGCTGATATCCAGAGATAAATGTTGGAATCATTCTGGTTACAGTTGATTTTTTCACTGTAGATAGTAGCACGGGATTGCTTACACTTGTTAACCCAGTCATTATCCGCTAGAGTACTGATTCTGATCCATATTTGCCTATTACCATCCCCCCAATGACATTTTTTATGGTGGACCGCCAGTATGTTCGGTTCCCTTTGTTTTGTTTTGTTCCTGCTTCCCTTCCTCAATGTTGATCACATCTGCTTTCTTCCTCCAGTTCTGCTCACTGTCATAACCTGTCCTTCTATTTTACTTCCCGTGAAGTTCTGATACCAAGAGTTTGCTGGGGGTCGCTGGTTGTTGGGGTTATGTGGATACAGGATTATTGAAATATGAGTCTTATCAACATTTTCTTTTATTCCAACTCTTTTTAACAAAGAGTGGTACAATGTCCTTAAACTTTTAAAGCTGCCTTCTTACATGCCTGAGTAGATAGAGCCTGATTGATGGATTGATGGAGATTCCGAATCTGATCCACAGATCACTTCCTAGGCCTTCTTCCAGTGGCTTATTTCGCTCATTTCTTATTTTTCTTTGCTTCAGCTATTTTTCTTGCTTGAGCAATGTGCTATGCTTCTTCATGTCTCTGGCATGATTTTAGGGACAGGTACGACTGAGAAGTAGCATATGCTGGTGCTTTGGAATGGAACAAATGGGTCTATTCAAGGATGTTAGGATGTCATTTTGTCATAGAATCTTGCCATTTATCCATTGATCTTCACATATTTTCCCTCTCATTACGGTGTGTTTTCTTGCTTGGCTGATTGTTCACAAAATCAAGTTTTTGTTGTTTTCTGCCACCGAAAGCGAAAATCTTACTTAATAATTGATAGGACCCTGCATCTTGGCAGGCAAACACAACAAAACTACGGAGATGGAGACGGAAATAGAAGATTAAACGATAGGAAAAGCAGTTTGGGCTCTGACGAACCCTAGAGTCAGTGGGGACGTTCTAGAGCCCCCCTGCTCTCCTTCAGCTGCAGCTGCCCAAGAATAATCCTTTGATACCCCTGAGCCCTAATACCTCTTTCCCTTTTGTGAGGAAAAGACCTAGCTGCCCTTCATTAAATTCTCACTAGAAAGGATTGTTTTGTCCCTTTGAGGTGAGGTGCTGGGCCCCCTTTGTGCACCCCTTCTATCTATGCCTACAGTAAGTTGGCCCATTGGTGACCTAACAATAGTCACCTAGAAGAGCCATATTGTTCATTTCTAATGGCCATTTGGGTGTATTTGATATATTATATAAATGACTTTTCTAGTTTTATTGAATGTTTATGCAGGCTCATTATATAAAAGATAGACGTAGCAGCACTGCAAGGGCTGTTTTTGCCTTGCAATCTTCGTATAAATGGGCCTTAAGTGGCACTCCCCTTCAGAATCGTGTTGGAGAACTTTACTCACTGGTCTGTAAATCACGCACTTTTTAATTTAAAACTCCAATGTGTTTGTTTGGCTACTTGGCTGATTTTATCTTATGTACCATGCAGATTCGTTTTTTGCAAATCAAGCCTTACTCGTTTTATTTCTGTAAGGATTGTGACTGTAAGATACTTGACTATAGGTAAGCTTTTTGATGTCTTCGATTGATTCCTGAAATTCTTGTTGGTTAGACACTAACTGATGCAAATTCTCTTATCAATCATAAATACCATGTAAGCTATGGTTATCAAAAACTTTTATCCATCAAGAATTCTTTTGTTCACCATATTTTTCTTCCAGAATAAAGGTTCTCTGGTGTTCCAGTTGATAATGTAATTGCAATAGAATACCTACTGCGTTCTTCTTGTTTTTAAGATGTCAATGTTATGTATGAGGCATTGTGAAAAGAAATGGTGTGGGGCACTTTGGATGAACTGTGGGTAATCCGTCTGATGTTCTGCTCCTTTTCATTTAAGATGTAAGTCGCCAGGGAACACTATGTGGTCTGTGTATCGAATTTTATTCGTTCTCACTTGAACCTGCATTAAGATATTTTGGAAGGTTTGGCTTACTGCTTTCTTTCCAGTGGGCAGCTTCAAAATTATTGTTCATGTCAAATTAGCTCATTTTGATTAAAGTCTCCTGGTATGTGCTGAAATTGGCCATAGTCCAATGAATTTCGAGGGTAGGAATCAAATCTGGCTTAATAATGTCAAACTTTTTTGTGGTTGATGCCTAACCAAGTTGGGTGATGAACTGCAAGATAGGACACGGTTTGATCAACTCACTTTGTCCTTCATGAGTCAGTCTTTCTGCCCCACCTCTAGCTCGTCAGGGCTTAAATTTGGCCGTTTTTATCGCTGAATTACAAAACATTGAGATCAAATGCAAGTGCTGCTTTTTGCGGGATCAAAACCTCTTCCATCTTCTTAATTTCGCCTGTCTGAGTTTGGTATGGCTGTCGAAAATGCAAGCTGAACAGCTTATATGTTTCCTTTTTTTGTGACCAATCTCTAAACGTTGAGAGCGATTGGCAGAGTAGGCGCATTAAGGTTCTACACTCCACCCGAGGTTATTTTCCCACTGGCATACCCTTTTTTGACTAGGAAAAAAATCCTGCAGAAAAGTGGTATAAAAGTGCGACATTTGCAGAAACAATTGGGAGCTTTTATGTGCAACTTGTTGCTATATTTAAAACTTGACTAATTAGTCATCATTATTTTGTATGCCAAGTTTTGGAAACCTGTGCACAAAGTTGAGGGTTTTTATGACAGTCTGGAGTAGAACGTAATTGAACATAAGGCATACAGCAAATAATAGTTGAATATGAATTAAAATTCGAAACTTTTGCATTCAAGGAATTTTAATCAATAATTGGAATGTGCAACACTGCATGTAATAAGTCATTATTGATGGCAGGTAGATGGGCATTTCAATTAATTTTATTGATACAACCGCAGGATTTGTCATTAATTACGATTAGAAATTTGAGACTTCGGCACTGTTGAAGAAATTGGTGTCAAGAAACAGCATGTTGGGTGACTATCCCCTGTACCATCGATCTGATTCTTATCCATTTGGATGAGACTGTTTTTTTACTTAGGTCGTTGGATGACACTGTTTCTGGAACCCATGCTAAGCATTATTTCCATAGAGGTGTCTGCATCTAGCTGCAATCAATGCATGATTGTGTGAATTGGGTCCTGCTAGAAGGTAGGAAAGTAAATGATAGGAGTCCGAATCTGCGGTGCAATAATTTTAGGAAATGGAGATCGAAAATACCAGAAAAGGGGGGAGATTGGGTTCCAGAAGGAACTCTGTTCCAGTTCGTGGTAACCGTTCGAGAGGACCACCTCTCTCCTCCACAAGCTGCTACCTGCCCAAAATCACGTCCTGCTTCCTCTCGTAACTAACCCTAATAACCCCTTTCTCCCCACAAAACATTGACCTAATTACCCATACTTAACCCTCCTGTCCCAATTACTTAAGAGCTCTTAGCTTAGGCTCTCTTTCTAGGCCTTAAGTTAGGCCTGTTAGGCCCCTATGGGTCTAATATTGTCCTCCTATTCTTCAGGTGTAAACCCGACCCATTGGGCCAATTGGGGGGTCTAACAGTAAACTGTTTGATAGATTTGACTTCTCATTGAAGTAAATTTTGGCTAGAAGTGGGATGCAAGTTGCATCTGCGAGTTGACAGCATGACTAGTGTGAGGGTTCTGTAGTGGTTCATCCATCACATTTAGTAAAATAATATCTTCAAGTTTCATGGTGGCCTGAAACAAGGGTTTAAGAGGCTGAGAAGAAAGATTCTGAGTATAGATCCTATTCTCCCTAAAACAGTTAGTGTATTGGATCCTGAAGGTTAATTAAAGATCAAACAGAAGATGTTGCGGCTATCTTGGTGTCAGTCATTGAGTACATACAAATGACGCATGAACTAATATGATTTGTTGTGGCTCATGATTCGTATTCAAAATGTGATTTTGAATGTGTTTAAGTATGGGAGATGTATTATGGTCACAAGACCAACTGCCTGTGAACAATCACGTGCAGGATGATAATGAAGCGTGTAGAAATTTCTCACCATATCTAGAGGGAAATTTATTATAGGAGGAGATCATCTATTCCTAGATTTGAGCAAGGTAACCATGAGAGACTTCAACGCTAAGTTTGAGGGAGAGGTAAATGGAACCTGGTGGCTGTAAGAAGGCTCTTTTGTGTCTTGACCCAATGATGTTGACCTGAAATTCATCCATCGGGATACATGCGTCTATTATCAGCATAAGATGTTGTATGCTGTTTATTGAACTCATATCCCTATTGAGTAATTTGTTGAACCTAATTTTACGTTATTATTCTCTTAATGAATATTGCGGGGATGCTGGTCTGATGATACAGTAGATTCCCATTAGCTGGGCACATCCTTGAGTTCTTATATCATGGAGGGGAGATGACTATGTGCAATGTCCGTTCTTAAATTTAGCCTCAATTCCCAATGATCCGGTTTTATATGTAAGAATTTAGATTTCTTCATACTTTTACCAAGAAAGCTCGTTTTCAATGTTCTGGCTTGTTGTTTGTAAGTTTTCTAAATCATATTGTATGTGACTGGGTAATTATACTTATCTGATATGGGTCTTGTCCATGTGGCGGAATTAATGTGGATTGTGCAAAATATTAAATTTATTTTCTTAATTGTTTGGTTTTTCTGCATTATGCCATATCCAACTTAAATACACTCTTGAAAAAGCTATCTAGCTTGTGGATTGTAGTTTTTTCATTTATTTGTATTTTGTTGACATTTTTGCAATTCGTCTCTTGTTTGTTAATTTTGTCTGCATATATGATGCTTATGTTCTTGGTAACAAAATTGGTCATCTCATTGGGATATTTCAGTACTTCTGTGCACTGTGAAAATTGTGCTCATGGGTCAGCAAGACATTTTTGCTGGTGGAATAGAGTAAGTCACGTAATATTTCTAAGAATGTGCTTGAGGAACTAGATGTTACTGTGCTGGTGTCTTCCTAATATTCTACCTTCTCCTATTAGTATATAACTAAACCAATACAAACCAAGGGACATTTGATCGAGGGAAAAAGAGCTATGATTCTGCTGAAGGAGAAGCTATTGAAAAGCATTGTGCTAAGACGTACCAAGAAAGGCAGAGCAGCAGACCTAGTTCTGCCGCCAAGAATTGTAAGTACAAGGATTCATAACACCATCTGCATATCTGCTCTCAAAAACTTGAGCTTTTTTTACTTCTCTGTAATATATACTTCGAGCGTAACATCATAATTTTTTGTTTAGGTTTGTTTAAGGCGAGATGCTTTGGATAGCAATGAACATGAATTTTATGAAGCCTTGTATACACAAAGTCAGACTCAGTTTGGCACGTAAATACATCTGGCCTATCTTATTTATTTTCTTCTTTTTGTAGCATGGGGTAAACATGATCTTTATAATTTGTTCTTTTATTTGAAAATGTCTTCCGTTTATCTCCATATTATGTTTCAACAGAGGTGGTGATTAATGGGCATTTTGTTTGGAGGTGGGCATTTGTGTCTAGTGGTTTATTTTTTTATTGGAACGTGACCAACTCTTTCAGGTTATATAATGCTTGGTCAAATTTTATGAAGAACTGCATTGATGGTCTGGGGAAAATGTAGGATTCCTTATGACTGGGACCAATGCATACTGGAATGTTTTGACTTCGTGCACGGTTAAGTTGTTTCTGGAGACTGTACCCTGAGTATCTGACGACGCTCATTCCACGACACATATCTGCCTGTGAATTGATGTATCTTTGTTAGGGTTTGGAGAATAATTAAAGTACCTTCGTATCCCCAGTCTGTTGAAAAATTACTGGCAATAAGTTAATGAAATAAAAAGAAATAATCTCAAGTTAATCTGATACTTTGCCTTGAAGCTTTCAACCTGACATCTAGATATCAGGACCTCAGTCCGTGAATTTTACCAGAATCCTGGTGGCGTGATTCTACCAGAATGAAACATCCAGGATGAGTGAATTTACATTCCACTTATCTAAAAACGTTTTGAAGAGTTATAGAGGAAAACAGATGGGATGTTGACATATCATTGACCTTCGGATTAAAAATAAAAGAAAATTCATATCAATTTTAGACAAATCTTGTGGAGTATTTCTTTAAGAAATAACCGTCCACACAATGACGTCTATGTAGTTTGAAAGCTTTCCGCATTTGAACTAGGCACTGACAACTACTTTCAAAAGAAAAGATCCACTGGTTACTAAAAAGATACTTGAGATCAAAGCATTGAGCACATTTTTCCTCGGAAAGCAAATCTATTACCATCAAAATTAAGTGATAATATCTAAACAAGTAACTATCTCACGAAATTCTTTTGAAATGCGACGTATTGTAGAAACTGTTTGCTTAACGTGATAAAAACTATTTAGTACATCCGATTGACCCTGAGACTCCTCTTCTTTTTTCCTTTCAGCTTCCTAAGTTTTGGTTAAATATCCTATGGTATGCTTGATGAATGATAACCTGTATGCGGCTATCTTCCATAATTAGACCATTTAATCTCATTATCGATTCTTTTTTTTTTCGTTGTATTTTTTCGGATGCCATCTCTTCCTTCAATGGCACAGTGCCACCCAAAGTTCTGAAATGGGTATTCGGGGTGAAATCGGTCCTTTTTTCATTCTTGCCCTTAAATACAGAGGAATGAAGTTTCTTGTCCGTTGATCTTGTGAATTTCTCGATTGGCTATCCTCATGAAAAATTCTAGAATTAGAGATAGGAACAGCAAGTAGTCTCAAGTTGCTGCGGACTTTCATGGAATCACAAACCATGGAGATCCCATTAATGTGACAAGTTATTTGATAGCAGTTATATGTGGCTAGCTTTCATATTGATCTTGATTACCTTTGAAACATTGACCTCTTCGATCACATTCCTTTTTATTAGTACCAAACGAATGGCCATGAGCATGTCTATTTACATTAGACGTATTGAAATTCTTTACTTCCTGTAGTTAAGATGCATGAATTATTCGTTTCCTTTTGCAGTTACGTTTCTGCTGGAACCTTGATGAACAATTATGCTCATATCTTTGATCTTCTTACAAGGTTGCGTCAGGTCTGATATCAATCACTTTTAATCATGAAAAATGGTTTCTGCTCATGTATCTATATATTTTTTCTTGTCATTAGGGTCTATTGAATTTTTCATGCTTAATCTTTTTGAAGTCATCATCAACTGTTTGGCATGTATTCCAATCAAATTTTATTACGATTGTTGAATTAGGAATGATGTAATATTCATTTTACACATGCTTGAAGATCATTGTGCTAGATAAAAAAAAATTAGGGAGAGTTTAAGGCAGTTGAACTGTTCAATGCCTGCAAGTTCTCTGCTGATCGGTAAATTTCTTGTGTCATTTACCTTCGACTATACTTCATCCTGCAAATGTGTTGTTGTTTAACTGCAGGCTGTTGATCATCCATATCTCGTCGTCTATTCAAGAACTGTTGATGCGCCAAATGAAAGCAATGAAAATACTTCTGCGGGCTATTGTGGCATTTGCCATGATCCTGCTGAGGATCCAGTGGTGAGATCTTATTTTTTCTGGTTTTACATTGATTACTTATGCGGAGATAGTGGGTTCTTTCTCTTAACCACTCTCTTTCAACTTCAGGTTACCTCCTGTGATCATTCTTTCTGCAGAGCTTGCTTATTGGATATCACACCAGCTCTCAGAACTGTCTCATGTCCATCATGTTCAAAACCTCTTACGGTTGACTTGACGACAGCTAACTCAGGGGAAAAGCGGGCCGAAAACAGTATCATAGGTTTTAAACATTCGAGTATCCTGAACCGATTAAATATTCAAAAGTTCAAAACTAGCACCAAGATTGATGCTCTGGTACTATTTTCCACCCTTCTGGATTTATGGAGAATGCGTTAAATTCTATTCTCCACTATTTGGATTTGAAGACGTTGTTTTTCGTTTTTTTTTCGTACATTGTTCTTGTTTCATGCTTGTGAATCAGAATCCTCTCAATGGTGAATGCATCTATGATTCAATTGCCACACTGGATGTGATCCATAATGTCCAATCGTTAACATTCAGGCTATGACTCTGCCATACCTTATGATCCGTGTGGACAGAACAGGTTGACTTGTGTATATATGATATCCTTGGTGAAATAATCCTTGTTGTTTTCTGTTTCTGCCTATTTTTTAAAATGTACCGGCTAGATGGAGAGACTTTTTCACTTATCATAAAGCTATTTCAGTTCATTGCCAGTTTTTACCTGAGCTTTGGATGCTGCTGGAGAGTCGTTAGACAGTGTTAGTCAACTGAACGACGAGCCCTGGCTTCAATGCCACATACCATCTACTTCTGCTGGAACTAAGTATTGCTATCTCTGTGATTTCGAGTTCCCAAAATGGCCCACTATTTTCAAGTTGTGTTGGATCTTGTTCTCTTCTCCACTGACATATAACTTGCTAATGAGTCTGTTTTCCTTTTGAGCAATGTTGTCTACTCATGTTTCACAGATTAAAAACTTTTAAAATAGTTTCAACTTTCAGTCTCTGAAACTGTTTTCTTTTCTTAAAATGAAGCCGCATGCTTCCTGCTTTGTGATTTGTGCTGGCTAGTCTGCATAGAGGAGCAAGAAGTTCTATGCTTCCTGGTGATTTGGATCGTTCTTGATACCTACCAGTAAATGACGGTTTGCTTGGAGGGAAAAAAAAAAACAAAAAACAAAAAACATACACTTAGATTGACTTTGCTTCTATGCTTAATAATACTTGTTTGAAAATCGTCGTGAAAGCCCACATTGTCTGGGATCTCTTCCATTTTCTGCCTAATTTTAGGATATATACAAAACAGCCCTGTGCAAGAAAAGTCGAAGCTGATCTTTGGCTGTCTAGCCGATTCTGTAGTTCTTGTGGATCATCCGGTTGGAGTATGGTAAGCTCAATGGATACAAAGTTAGAAAAAAAATCGTCAAAAAGGAAAAGCCAGAGCAATCACATGATGATAGATATGCTCCTTTTCTCCATCAAAAAGGGATCAGTCTTCTCTCCCTCGGGTGATCACTTTGGATTTGTTCTTGTTTCACTTTAGTTTCTAATTCAATCAACAGCAAATAATTTTCTCCATCTACATATAGACTGAGGGTCTTGTTTTAAAAATCCTTTAAAATCTTTATATTTTAGATTTCTTCTCTCTCGCGTTGCAGAAAGAGGAGATAATGCTCATGGCTGAGGCTGATAGCTCAGCGAAAGGAATAGTATTCAGTCAGTTCACATCTTTCCTGGATCTCATAAAGTACTCCCTGGTGCTGGTACCCCCCGACCACCACCACCCTCCCAATCTATTTATTTATTTATATATTCATTCATTCATTTATGTAATTATGTATTTGTATGTTTTTTTGGCAGTCTGGGGTGAGCTGTGTTCAGCTGGTGGGAAGCATGAGCCTTGCAGAGAGGGAGAGGGCGATCAGCTCCTTCACTGAGGACGCGGACTGTAAGATCTTCCTCATGAGCTTGAAGGCTGGTGGGGTCGCCCTCAACCTCACAGTCGCCTCTCATGTAAATAACTGTCTGCCCCCCCCCCCTCTCTCGGTCTCCTTCTCCACGGTGGTCCCCACCTTGAAATGGTCTTTCATGGCAGGTGTTCCTGATGGACCCCTGGTGGAACCCGGCGGTGGAGCGCCAGGCCCAGGACCGGATCCACCGGATCGGGCAGCACAAGCCGATCAGGACCGTCAGATTCCTGATCGAGGACACGATCGAGGAGAGGATCCTGCAGTTGCAGAAGAAGAAGGAGATGGTCTTCGAAGGGTGGGTCAAAATATACTACCATCTGCCCCCTACTACCACCCCCGCTTCAACCACTCACTGTGGAGAGGAGAACGGGGTAATCAATCTGACGTTGACCGTGGTGGGACAGGACGGTGGGCGACTCCGCGGATGCCATGGCGAAGCTGACTGAGGAGGACTTGAAGTTTCTCTTCCAGAACTGACGGAGTCAACGCCGTAAGGTACGGCGTTGTTTTTGCTCTGCGCTTACTATTTTTGCTCATGCTTATGGTGGGTGAGCAGCCACAAGGATGTGTATGCCTTGAATGGTGTTAGAATGAATCAGGCGGCCCATTATAGGATCAGTCGCTAGTCAGAAAGCATGTGCCCTCCTCCTTCCACGTTGACTTGTGTTAGGAAGTTCCTTCTCTCGAGTTGGGCCTTTCTGGGGATGTTTCTATCTGGGTTTCCCTCCGTCAGACCTGCCTTTTGTTCAGAAGAGGTACAGTCGTCCAGCAAAGAGGGTATTTCTTTGGGATTGCCCATCTGAAAGCTTTTAGCTTCTCATGCCTTCGTAGGGCCAGTTCTACACCCAAAGTTCCTCGCAATTTTGCATTTCCAAGGGAGTCCTGAGAGGGGCAGTGCGACCGACAGAAACATGTCACACTCAGCAGACAGAGAGAGAGAGAGAGAGAGAGAGAGAGAGAGAGAGAGAGAGAGAGAGAGAGAGTGGGGGAGACCTGGTATCTCATGTTTCACCGCCTCCCCACACAAGGTAAATCTGATGGTATCTTCAACATCTCTCTCTCTCTCTCTTTCTGTGATGCCCACGTGAGATATCTACCGCCCTGCTATCCATGGATATTTATATATATATATAAAACATACCAATTTTAAGCGAAGAGGAGTCAACTTGAGCAATGCTTTCACACGAAAGAAGCCCTAGTTTTTCAATGTCGGCGTATCTTAAATCGTTGTCGTCCCAGTTTTGTTCAGTTTCTACTTATCCTCGTTCTGTCCGGCGGCGTACTTTCACTGGCTCTCTCCGGAATGCACAGCATAAGCCAAATAGAGGGGGGTGGTCCAGGGCATCTGGTCTTCCACGAAGGTTCCTTAGTGTGCTCTGCATGTGCTCTATGTAACCAATTATTCGAAATGTTTTAAAAAACGACTCATTCTCTAGTTTCTTCTCCTGTTTTTGAGCTTTTCTTGGCGTGTTTTTTTTCCAAAAAAAAAGAAGAAAAAAAGAAGAGAAAAAAAAGCCCATCGATTCCTTCCTTATTCATAAAAAATGTCTACCTCGGAGGTTCCTTGTTACTTCACCTTCCCTTCCCTTTCCCTCGGATTCCTCAACCCTTGTTAGTGGCTCTCTCTCTCTCTCTCTTCTCGACTGTCATCTCCACCCAGTTCCCTGCCTTTGCAGTCCTGTAAAATGATTATTGTGAAAATTGGACCCATTGGGAAATAAATTAACAAACTTTCTTGGCGACTCTTTACCAGATAGAACGTGTATGATTTATTTATGAGAATATCACCCTCGTCGGGGTATCCTCCACCGAATGGTGCACCTCCCCTCTTCTCTCTCTCTCTCTCTCGTCACCCAATTGGCCCCCACGATAATGGCATTGCATATTTATCGGTACAATCATCAGCAAAGCACATGTATTTATGTACGCCGAGTACCCTTTATTCCAGATCCCTTGCATAAGGGACTCGGCGATTTAAACTCCAGCGGCCTGGATTGCGCCACGCGTTCTCGAGAGCGACCCACACGTGTGGGCCAGCTCACCGACGCGCAGACACTGCCAATGACGCCGTCCCACCCGCCACAGCGGGCCCTTATGCAAACTGACCCAGGTCGCCGCCGCCGCCGCCGCCGCCGCCGCCGCCGCCGCCGCCGCGTCGCCGCCACGGCGGCGCCACCGACGCGCGTTAAACCGTCACGCTCACTTTGGCCCCCACTCTGATTGCTCGCACGTGCAGATTTGACCATTCGGCCCGCCGCCCCGCTGGCGCGCAAGGGACGTCCTCAACATGGCAGCTATTGTTATGGAATATATATTTTTTAAATAAATGCATGCCGCTAAAATAATTACTATAAACGTCGAAAACTAAACTTTCTTTTAGTCCTGTTCATGCGTTCATATTTCCAACTACCAGCGCATCTCTGTCAGAAGAGAGAGAGAGAGAGAGAGAGAGAGAGACGGGGAGGGCGGGGCAGAAGCAGCAGCAATGGAGAGTTGACGTCGTGTCGACCTCGTGTTGACCCCGATCAACAGGGTTTACTGTCGGACAATGAAACTGAACGGAAGTAGCAGCTTCGGGTGAGTTAACGTGGTGGGGCCAGTCAAACTGGTAAACTACCGATCTATTTTTTTGTCGGGGATTTTAACGGCGCGATTGTCCGTGCGAGCAGGCCGCGCCAGCCGTCGCCAGCTCGACTCCAACTGTGTCGTCGTCGGGCGGATGCGGTCACCGCTGCCGCACCCCCAAGCCTCCATCTCTCTATCTCAGTTGAGCTCCCGCCCGGCGGCGGTGAGTCGACGCGGCGCGCCTATCCTCCGCGGTGAGCGGAAGCTTGTGGTCACTCTTGACCGCGAACGCGGCGCAGTCCGACACTCCACGCCGCAGCAGGCCTCGGAATTCGGACAGGGGTATTTTCGCAAGTTAAAATATTTACTCCTATTATATATATACATATATAAGCAGTAATGTTTATTAAATGTAAACCCAAATGGAGCTGGCATAATATATGAATATTGGGTTTCTACGAATGGAAGTAAAAATGGAAGCCTCCAGCCATATATTATTATTAAACTATTTGGACAGGTGGTTAATAATATTTATTATTTTAGTTATTTATTTCGCCATGTTGATGCTATCGAGCATAAGTTTTCCTTCTTATTCGAAGATTTTAATTTTTTTTTTTTGTTAGATTCAGTCGAGGATTATGTCGTTTTGTTCAAAAAATTTATTAGGCACGAGAGTATATATACGATGAAAAATCTTTCTAGGTGTATTCTTACAATGCGGCTGTTGAGATGCCCCCCCTCCGCCAACTCCCCCGCATTCAACAACCGCACAGTCGGGAGAGTCTTCTTAAGAGGGGGAACCCACGTCCTCTGCCTGCCGCTACCTCTCTCTCTCTCTCTCTCTAGCTATCGTTCATAACTCTCTTTTAATTCCCTCGCCGCGTTAGGCAGCTGAGAGCAGGGGAGAAGCGGTGGGAGCGAGCCCACGGACGGCGACATGGGAGGAAGGCGGCGGGGGATCCTCTGCTCCGGTTCCGCCTCGTCTCCTTCTGCGGCGGCGGCATTGATCCTCTGCTGCTGCGTCGCGGTTCCGCTCCTCGTCTCTGTCGCTGAGGCAGAGGATCCGTACCGCTTCTTCACCTGGAATGTGACCTACGGCGACATCTGGCCCCTCGGCGTCAAGCAGCAGGTCTGACTGCTGGCCATTTCTCCTCTGTCGTTCCTCTTCCATTGCTATTGCTCGATTCATATCTGACGGCGTCTCCGTGTGCTCGGCGGCCGGGTGGCGGCAGGGAATACTGATCAACGGCATGTTCCCGGGGCCGCCGATTGAGGCGGTGACCAATGACAACCTGATCATCAACGTCCACAACAGCCTGGCGGAGCCATTCCTCCTCTCCTGGTCCGTTCCTCCACCCCATCTTCTTCCCCCCTCTCCTCTTTGCGTGCGCTATCTCCCTCTTATTCTCTTTCTCTCTCTCTCTCTCTCTCGGAGGAAATTTCCTCTTCACTTTGGATTTATTTGGATATGTTTTCGTTCTGCGAGAGAGAGAGAGAGAGAGAGAGAGAGAGGGAGGGTACGTTTACCGTTTCCCATCCCATGTGAGATTAGACGTGTTTTCGGTCCTTTTTCGTAATAGCCCTTGTAAAATTTACTATAGACAAAAAGTCACCATTGCCTTCTAATTAGGATATCTGCCCGGTGCATCTGATTTTCTGTCAGGAAAGTACATCTCACAAATATGAATTTATAAGCAAGAAACTATTTTTATCGTTGAGAGTATTTATCTTAGCTTAGATTTCCATTGCCGATCTTGCCTGTTTTCCGCTTTCGAAAACATGTTTTCGAAGGTACCCTCATTTATGCTCGTGGCAAGAAAAGAAGAACCACCTCTTTACGGCAGGGCCTTTTCAATAGCAAACTTTGGTCTTGAGGACTTTTTTGCAGTTTTCCTTTGAAATTTTTCTCCTCTTTTCTAAAATTAAAAATTAGGGGAGAAAAGTTTGAAGCCTGGTTTTCGGGATATTACTACGAAGGAGGGCACTAACCTAATTGTTTTTATTATGTGCGTGTGAATGCATACAATCAAGACACCTTTTTAAATCTCGCTCCTCTGGGCGGGGTGGCGCGGCGGGAATCTGTAATATCCGGGATGAGTCACGTGCGCCTCTCTGGCGTCTGCAACCCACCCTCTGATCGAGATCCCACGGTGGACTTCGACGCCCACCCCCCCCCCATGTGCTTGAGAGTCCTAGTGTGACCCAGCTAAGAATTGCGCCGGCGGTATTTCGATTGGGGGAGACAGCGGTCCAGCTGATTTTCCCGAAAAGACAACCAAGTCTGCGACCACACGCTAAGCGATGGCCCCACCAGGCTATTCGATTTTCGGATCTCCTGAATGGGCTTAATAAATAGTCATGAAACCGGGCATAATCAATCAAGCCGGGATATGCCACATTGTGTGATATTTATATTGCATGTATTTATCTCTGATCGAATCCAAAATAATGGAATTTCCCGATTTTCCTCGGCAGTAGTCTGCGGATCATGACACGTGGTTAGAACTGGATGGCGGTTTTAGATTGTGCGGAAGATTAAATCTTATCTTGATTAGGTTTAAACACTGTTCAAGCTTTCGTTGCAGCAGCGTGGAAGAAATCTTAGCCCACGCCTGCAAATCATGCACGCGCCGACTTTGCTGTCTTGTAGTTTTTTATCCTCGAGGAAGTTTTGTGATTGGTAGATTTTCTCACGTGGCGCTTCGGATTGGTCTTGGGTTCTTTCAGGAACGGGATTCAGCAGAGGAGGAACTCATGGCAGGACGGGGTGCTGGGCACGAACTGCCCCATCCCGCCGGGTCGGAACTTCACGTACATCCTTCAGGTGAAGGACCAGATCGGGAGCTACTTCTACTTCCCGTCGCTGGCCTTCCACAAGGCGGCGGGGGGGTTCGGAGGCTTAAGAATCCTGA